TTTATATATTCTAATCTATTTACCAGCGTGTTCTATATATATTCTAATCTATTTATCAGCGTGTTCTATAATATTCTAATTTATGCAAAACAAATTGCCCTGTAATACCTTTGCAGCGACATAAAATTTTAAATAAATAAAAAAGTTCGAAAAAAAGATGAGAAATGAATTGTTTTTTTACTAATATCATTGGATTAATTAATTATATTTTTTTTGTAAAGATGAGTTGATAAATAAGGTTCTAATTCTAATTATGATGACAACCTACTTATTATCCCTAATGAGTGGCAATTAAAAAGTTATATATTCAAGGTTTAGTCAATTATAAATTTTTAATTAAGGAAGAAAAGTTCATAGAACAACTCTAATTTTTTATTGAGCATGGTTGAATTTTTTAACATTTGAATTATGGAACCTTCGGATATCATTTTAAAATAGTGAAATTGAAAAAACCTGAATTTTCCGGGTTAAGATGAATTAGAAGTCCTTTAAATGATAATTTTAATTTAACAAAATTTGAAGAATAATGAGCTAAGTTGAATTTGGTTCCAGTGCTCCAACAAATTGTGTTAGAAGAAAACTTTACAATTTTAAGAATGTATAAGTTAATTATTAGAAAATAAAATTCTTTTAACTACTAAACTTGTTCCATATTAGAAGTATATATGACATTTTCTTATTCCGTAGAATCCCTTTAGACTTTCTCTTCTCAAGTATTTTCAGAGTTTTTGCCCTTTTCTAACATAGAGGATCAAATTTACAGAATTAATTTAATTGAAAAAACTGAGAATATTTGGATCTGGGGGTGTAGTAAATACCCTACTCCATAAGGGTTTCTCAAACCTGTGTCAATCCAGGTAAAACTCAATCTCACTTTGCTATCTATGTCAAACCGGACACAATCTTGAGCTATCAATGTCAAATATTGCCACGATCTCGTTAACTATCGCTGCCAAACACCGGGCACGATCTTGGACTGTTAAACACCGACACAAGCTCGTAAACTGTTCTATCAATGCCAAACCACTGGGCACGATCTTATAAACTTGTATGCTAAATGAGGAACAATTACTTCTCGAACAGTAATCAAAGCGGAGTCTATTCCAACTAATGTATTTTAGATATCTGTGTTACAGATTAAGTTTTGTTTATGTATTTACAAGATTAGCGCGGATACATATAAGCGTAGTTAAGCCAGTCACTGACGTATTAATAAGTTAATCCCAATACAGGTTTAGACATATTTAAAGACATAGCTAGACTAGGTTAATCGCATTACAAGTTTTGCGTAGTTAATGATAAGTTCATTTAGATTTACAGACAATGTACAACGTGATTTATCTAGATATGTTTAGGTTATCAAATATGGGGATTGCTGTATTTATTACAGGGGAATATTGCTGTATTTATTACAGGGGAATATTGCTGTATTTATTACAGGGGAATATTGCTGTATTTATTACAGGGGAATATTGCTGTATTTATTACAGGGGAATATTGCTGTATTTATTACAGGGGAATATTGCTGTATTTATTACAGGGGAATATTGCTGTATTTAATTACAGGGGAATATTGCTGTATTTATTACAGGGGAATTATGTAAAAATGTCGGAAATCGATAAAGCTTAAAACTCCTTTACAATAAAATTTTAGGCATCGATTTTAAAACTAAAGAAACACTTTTTTGCAGTGTGTAGCACAAAAAAATTGAAACGGTCGTGGGGGGGGGGACTAAGCTAAGGTTGGGGGTTACATTGAACTAAAGTACATATAGTATTTCAGCTTGATATCTTGTAAGTTTTCAAATGTAACTTTTTTTCTTGCTTGATTCTTTTTCTCTGCCAAGATCTGTAAATTTATTAATCTATGTCTGTTGTCGATTTATATTGATCTGTAAATATATTAATCTATGTCTGTGTCGGTTTTAGATTTTTATAGATCTGTAAATTTATTAATCTATGTCTGTGGTCGATTTATATTGATCTGTAAATATATTAATCTATGTCTGTGTCGGTTTTAGATTTCTATAGATTTGTAAATTTATTAATCTATTTCTGTTGTAGATTTCTATAGATTTGTAAATTTATTAATCTATGTCTGTTGTCGATTTCTAATAATAGATCTGTAAAATTAATCATCTATGTCTGTTGTAGATTTCTAATATTAGATCTGTAAATTTANAAGTTTTTCTCCTGAAAGGGGGGACGGGCTTTAGTTGCAATGTAAATAAACAAAAATTTATATAAATATATAAACAAATCTATGTTCTAATAACTACAAACTATTAAAAGTTTAGCTAAAATGTAAAAGCCAGGAAATAACAAAAGTATGAAGTGATATACACACATGTATTAAAATCATGTTATATAAAAGCAATTTTAAAATACAAAAAAAAATTTGAATTATATATTAAAATATTAAACTTTGTAACAACAAGAAAAAAGATAATGAAAACTTAACACTTGCCACAGCCTTCAAGTTTTGTATTCCTATATCTTTGCAACCGAATGGTGTACACTTTTGATATTTTAAAATCTAACTATTAGATCTATGAGTAATCATATTTTAAAAAATCCACTGAAAAGAATTGAGTCTTTGCCACAAACTCTGATTTTCTAATCACTATATCAATGGAACCAAATGTTGAAGACCTTAGATATTTCAAACTATGAATTCAGTTAGATCAAATAATCTGAGTTTGAAATTTCAAAGGTTTACAACATCGAGTGCTAAAGATATTGAGGTTTAAATATTTGATTTTGTTCTAAAGACTCAAGTCCTTTTAGGAGAGTTTTCAGTTCCAATATTTACTTGCAGCGGGGTTCGTTGTGTACAACTGGAGTACATGACCAATTTCTTCAAACTACAAATAGTGTGAAAATTTTGAATATTTCTTTAGAATTTTTGAAATTGGGACTATATGCAACAAGTGGCGTATATGGCAATTATAAAACATGCTGTAGATTTAAATAAACACAATTGTTAAAGATTAAAAACCAAAAACATCAACATGATGAATCAAACAATTCCAAGTTAGTTCCAATGCATGGTTTGTGGTTTTCTTGTTTTTAGCCTTGGAAAAATACTTTCTGGTTAATGATTAACTACAACCATGATAATATATAGTTCAAAACATAAATCAATCCTGCTTCAAGGAATCAACTTGATTTTTTATTCAGATAGGATTGCTAGAAACAAGATTGCTAAAAAATTGGTTACTAGAAAAATAAAAACTAACTCCTAGTTAACGCTTAAAAAACATTATTTTATCGCACTAAATGATTAAAATGCAGAAATAAATGCCAATTAAATTATTAAGTTTTAGCTTGGGAACCCACATATGCCTGGAAATAAACTTCCTCTATTAAAGTCAACCCACTTAATGTAAAATTCTTAAACCAAGCTTAGAACATTTTCTTGGTTCTACAGAATACAGACATTCTGATAAACAGAGATTACTACTTTATATATAAAGATATTATAATATATATATATATTATATAGATAGATCCTTTCACATGCTTTCTTTCTCGAGCTTAAGAAAAAAAAGCTGAAAGTTCTTCTCAGAATTTTTTTTTTTTTTTACTTCTTTGGAAAAAAGTTTGAAAATCTGAATAAATCGTTTACTTTTAAACAAAAAGTTTTCCTATTTAAAATGGGAGTGGGCAGNGGGGGGGGGTAAATAACCCCAATAACCCCCCTTATGGCCGCCACTGGGAGTGGGGGAGTGGAGACTGAAAATGGGGGGGTGGAGGGAAGAGGAGGGAGGCAATGAAGGAAGGAGTATATCATAAAATGGAGACGTATGGAGAAGTATATCATAAAAAGGGAGTAAAGGCAAAAAAACTATTTCCACTTGAATGTCGTCTTTCTTTGAAATCATCAAACAATTAATATTTTCTCGAAATATAGATACTTTTTAATATGTTTTCCAATCAAAATAAGTAATGAAAAATCTCATAACATTGCTTTTTATGTCTAATATTGTGTATAAATGTTAAAAACTTTAGAGAGGGGTCATGAAAAAATGTTTTTAAGGTCGTCTTTTAATTTCTTAAATTTGTTTTTTTACTTTACCATATTAAATAAAACCGATTTTTCATATGATAAAAAAAATACGTTTGTATTGTCAATATTTTTGATATGGGACGCTCTGTACACAATAACCTATATGAATACATGTACGTGGCATTTGTACATCAGACAGTTAGGGAAAGCATATTCCTTATTCAAATGGAGTACCGTCTGCAAAGCATGTATATAATAATGTAGTAGTTCTAGCTGGGTCGATCCTTTCTCTATTATATTCCATACTCCTAGGCGGCAACAAAAGATTATTGTGTTCAGATTTTCTTTTTACTTTTCATCTTTGAATGTTTAATCAGGTTTAGAAAATTCAATTACTTATTTCTTATTTGATAATTTCAGCTTTTCAGAAATCAAATTCAAATTATATATTGTAATGGTAAAATATTTGTTAAGTACAGAAAACAGAATTACAAAGTCCATAATTCAGCGATCTAGATTTCAAGGTCAAAGTCAAAGTTCAAAGTCAAAGTCCAGTGTACAAATTCCAGTGTACACGGTCCAGTGTACAAAGTCCAGTGTACAAAGTCCAGTGTACAATTTTCTGTGTACACGGTCCAGTGTACAATAACAGAGAAAGAAACAAAAAAAATCATCGAATGAAGAAAGGAAGGCTGAATAACTTATGTACAGATGTATTTGAAGGCTCATTCTTTGTGGGTCCCCCTGTATATATTCAACTGAAAAGTGCAGTTTATTTATATTTAATTAAAAACTTGAACTTTGTGGCTTCGCCATCTGCTACCAAAATACACAGAATTCATTTCTTAATATGCTTCATATTTTCCCCCCAGTTCGTAAACAGGAATTTAGGGGCCTTTGGGTGGAGAAGGAGGAGGGGGGGGGGGATTATATAGGTTTATTCTTTTCATCTTTGGTATTGATGAGATTCAATGTGAGTATACTTAAAGTAATGAAGATAGGATTCAATGTGAGTATGCTGAAGGTAAGGAGGATAGGATTCAATGTGAGTATGCTGAAGGTAAGGAGGATAGGATTCTATGGAAGTATACTGAAGGTAATGAGGATAGGATTCTATGGGAGTATTCTGAAGGTAAGAAGGATAGGATTCAATGTGAGTATACTTAAAGTAAGGAGGATAGGATTCAATATGAGTATACTGAAGGTAAGGAGGATAGGATTCTATGGGAGAATACTGAAGGTAATGAGGATAGGATTCAATGTGAGTATTCTTGAAGGTAAGGAGGATAGGATTCAATGGGAGTATACTGCAGAAGGTAATGAGGATAGTTTTCAATGTAAGTATACTGAAGGTAATGAGGATAGGATTCTATGGGAGTATTCTGAAGGTAAGAAGTATAGGATTCAATATGAGTATACTGAAGGTAAGAAGTAAAGGATTCAATATGAGTATACTGAAGGTTGGAAGGATAGAAATTCCTATCCGTCCTTACTTGCATCTATACACTTTGATTAAATGTATTTAAATTTTTAGAGGTTACTGCAATTACTTGTCCTAGGAGTTGTACATAATGTACACGCTAGAAGATTACAACCTTTCTATAACTTTGAATCATTCAATATTCCTACAACAGGTGAGCATATTTTTTCAAACTTAGAGATAAATTGTCTCAACCCTAAAATCTCTGAACTATTCTATTACTGGCATGTCTGATTCACAACGGAACATTAAAACTGATAAAATGATTAATCTATAAAACTGTTCAGGTCACTTTGTGAAAAAGTTCAGTTTAAAAAGACAGAAACATTTCTTTACAAAAAGCAAAAAGAAGACGGGGAAAAACCACTTTTCTATGATTCCACTAAACAGAAATATTGGATAGAAATTAAATTGTATATAATATAAATAATTTGGTTCCATAAATCAATATTTCAGGTCCACCTCGTGCACTTACAGTCGGAGCAGACTTAGCAAACAGGGAGATTGGAGTAGAATATTTTAATTCAAATTATAAACCTTTAAATTCTTTTCCTCATTCCTTTTCTTCCCTCTTCTTCATTCCCTCCTTCACATCCTCTCTTTACTATCAACAGACAACTCCATCCTTCTATACTTCTCATCCTAAATATATCCATAATCCTAAATTTCTACTTCCTAATCCTACCCATCTTCTGCCTAATCCTAATCCTGTACTTCCTAATAACGTATCTACTCCTGTACCCGTATATAGACAAGTTCCAGAATCATCGGTGTATCGAGTACCAGCACCTCCCTCTCCTGAATATAGACCAGCTCTAGCTTCTCCAGCTCCCCCAAAAGCGGCTCCAACAGCTGCACCGACTGCTGCACCGACAGCTGCATCAACAGCTGCACCAACAGCTGCTTCAACAACCGCTCCTGTATTTGTTCCCAAAGCTAGTTCTGGATTTGCTCCTGATGATATCCCAAGTTTTTCTCCTGAAGATTTACCTGTCTTTGCTCCAGAAAATGATGTTGGAGATGCATCAGAAACCCCTGACATTACTCCTGACAGTTCTCCTGTTTTTGCTGCCGAAGATGAACCTGCTTTTACTCCTGAAGCTGTTCCTACATTTAACCCAGTGGAAACTCCAGTTTTCACTCCTTTAGAAACTCCTGTTTTTAATTCTGTGGAAACTCCAGTTTTTGTCCCAGAGGACTCTCCAGTTTTCACTCCTTCGGAAACTCCAGTTTTTGTCCCAGCAGAATCTCCAGTTTTTACTCCAGCGGAAACTCCAGTTTTTGCTCCAGACGAAACTCCAGTTTTCACTCCAGTAGAATCTCCGGCTTTTGCTCTAGCAGAAAATCCAGATTTTGCTTTTGAAGGTCCAGTTTTTGATTTTCAAGATGATCAAATCTTTGTCCGAGTTGAGACACCTGAAGATGTCCCTGCTTCCACTAATGACGAAACTAATGAAAATGAAACAGCTTTTTCACCCCATGATGCGCCAGTCCTGCAAGAGGCTCCTGTTTTTATACCCGTTGAAGACCCCAGAGATGTACCTGTATTTGTGGCTGGTGAAGACTCTATTTTTACTTTAGACGAAGCTCCAATTTTTCCTATCGAAGAATCTATTGCTTCAGTGTTTGAGCCTGAAGATGAACTAGTTTTTGCTCCTGTAAATGTTCCTGTAAACGTTCCTGAGAACAATCTTGGATCTATTCCCACAGAACAGGTTTCTCAAGATTCAAACGAGGAAAATTTGATCAGGTAAATTACTTTAATGACATCTCAGGGCCTTATATTACAAATTTAGTCATTTTGATATTCACATTCTGACACGAAAATCAATATGATTTTTCTGTCATTCCTCTTTCAAACCTGAAGCTAACTACAGAGCTTTACATCTCTCTTAATCTAGATATACAGGGCTACAAAAAAGTATGGCAGGGTCAAAAAGGGAGTAGAAGAGTTAAAGAATGGAAAACATTAAAAAAATGTCCAGTGTCATTAGTCATTTGTATTGCAGTATAGATTGCTGGGTTTTCAAAAGTTTTACCTTGGCCTCCTTGCACATACATCCGGCGTATATTTGTTTGTAGCCTTTGGAGGTGATATTGAGATGTGACAGAATATATCTGAATTCTGAATATATCGGAATTCTGAATATATTTGGATCCACTCATCTCCAATTTCTAAAGAAACAACCAGAGAATACTAACTTATAATTGTCCTTCAATCCACTCATAGAAAATGACTCAAATTTACATTGATAATTTGGAAAATAGGTTATTAATGAGTAAGAAACTGACATGACAAGAACAAAACGGGGAATAAGGGTCTACAGATTTTCAAGATTTTCAAGATTGAGACCATGTTTAAAATCTTCGTACAATTTCCAATTCAATGAATCCATGTTTAGGCTTCTAGATCTAAAACTGACAATTTTTTAAACTCCTTAAGTTTACAACTGGAGTGAGTAAATTTGGTAAAAATAAAGATAATCTCTGTTTGCACAATTTTGTATCAGGGTCAACAAACTAGTTTGTAATTTGATTTTTAAGCTTGAGACCATTTTTGATATCTACGTACAATTTCTGATTCAATGAGATGAGTCCAATTTTAGGCTTCTAGATTTAAAAGTTACAATTTTTATGCTCCTACACTCCAGAGCCCCATTCACTATACTAACTTGAGGTCAAACTCAATAAGGAAAAAGCTGTCTCCCAAAAAGCAATTTTTAAGTTAATTGAAAGGCCAAAAAGTGTCTTGCTGCTAATGGTAGACATTGTTAATAAGATTGTAATAAACTGTGATTATGTTTTGCTTTTTACTAGCTCCAGTTGGAAACTTTAGGAGCTTATAAAATTGTTATTTTTAGATATACAAGCCTAAAATTTTAGACTTATTAAATCGGAATTTGTACGTAGATTTTAAAATTAAATTTAAGATTAAAATATTAGAAATTCAAAACATCATCATTATTCTAAATAGTTGTTTGGAAAGAAGAACTCTGATTAAATACATTGAAGATTTCATTAGAATAAATTTTACTTTAATTTGACGAAATAATGATATTTTACAAACATTATTGGAAGAATTCAATGAAAACTAGACAAGACTTCGTTCGGACAATATCCCTCAAAATACAAATAAATATAGTAGGACAAAGCCTTTAACTGCGACGTTTGTAGAACTAAGGTTGGGGATATGGATTGATTGTATTTAACCGTGTTGTATAAGGAATGCTTTGTTTAAACTGTTTGTTCCTGTTTTTATATTGTTATAGGCCAAAACAGTGTTAATATATCACAAAACAGAAACCCCCACCTTAATTATACTCACATTGATAACGGCTGATAATATTAATGTAACAAAGCCTACTTTTGATTGATGAATAATGTTTAGTGAGGTGTTGCTTCCTGTTCAAGATTTCTCAGATGAAATTAGTTTCAAGTTTGAAGATCCATTTGTTGCTGAACTTAAAAACGATGCTGATACTATTGAAGACGAAGATGACACCATTCCTGAAATATCTACAGAAGAAGAATCAACCCCTGAACCAGTCAGTCCGATGGAACTCTTACTGAAGGCAATGCAGAAGCTGAAAGAGATTGAAGAGAAGCATGAACAGGAGGTTGCAGAAGATAACCTAATTGTCCAGGAGCAAAGTCAAGAAGAGGGAAATCATGTGTTTAATGACGATATCAATGAACTTCTTCAGTCTGCAGGTAATCCCTTAAAGGAACTTTAATTACATTATATCCTTTAATCTTTTATCTGAGTAATAATAAGGAAGATATATATCTTGTTTTTCTTTCTAAAAAAGCGTTAAATTATGACAATTTCCTACTTCTCCTCTATAGCCCCAGACATGATTTAAAGGGGTACACTTAAATCGGACATGCGCTTTTAAAATGATGTGGCAATTCAAACGTCGACATTCCCTTTAATGGGTATATTCACAGCAATTTTGATGCGACAAAAGGATATTATATAAATCATTTTACTCATAATATTTTTCTGAAAAGTAAATACTTTTAATCTTGTCGCAATGCACAGAAATAAAACATTGCAAAAAAACCTTCTTGGGAAAAAACATATACTCTCAAAAATCCGGGAATTCTTTTCAGAATAGTCACAATTCTACACGAAGTTCTTGTCCAATAACCTGCAGGATATGGTCCAAAGAAAAGGAGGACTAATAACAATTATCAAAAGATAAAAATGGTTTTTTTTTATTTTAGACTTTGAGAAAAATTGAAAAAACCATTAGAACCTTATGAAAACTTAAGGTCTTGATTTACCGTTATTTATTTAATACATATGATAAAGCTCTTCGCTCGTATATATATATATTATACATATATATATATATGTGTGTTAACTATAGAAGACCAAACGGCTGAACCAAATTGGCTGACATTTTTTGAGGGAACCTTTGAGTACCCCGGTACATAAGCTTAAAAAAACTCGAAATTTTTTTTTCTTTTAAACATCTATTTCTTCCAAAATTCAAATTTTTTATGTTTCTAAAATTCCACTGGCAACGCCCGGCACTCCAGCACGTAAATCAATTTTTCCATTTTCAGGGGAGACTCCTGCTGTTCCCTCGGACGTAGTTCGAAGACAAATACCAAAATACAGACAACGATATAATCTCTATTCAAGACGTAGAGTTTAATCTGGCTTTGCGGTTCCCAGGATTCCTTGCTATAATCTTATTTTGCAAACAAGTCCCTATTTGCAAATTTAGTTCTTATTTGCAATACAAGATTTTTATTTGCAATATATGTTGTTATTTCAATACAAGATCTTATTTGCAATACAAGATATTATTGCAATATAAGTTCTTATTTGGAAATTAAGATCTTATTTGCAATACAAGATCATATATGCAATACAATATCTTCTTTGCAATAGAAGTTCTTTTTTAAAATAAAAATTTCTTTGTAGCAAAAATAAAAAAATTATAGTTTCAATTGATATTTATTTATAATAATAATAACATGATTGTACAGTTAAAAAAGATATATTTAGCATAAAATAAAAGATTAGGTAAAATTTGTGAAAAAAAACATTGAATTCTGTAGAACAAGTGGCATTTGCTATATTTTAACACTGAAAAAATAAAGTTTTAACATTAAAAATGTTAGTGGAAAAAATACACATTTATATATTATTCAAATAGAAAAATGTTCAGCGAAAAATAAAAATAAAAACTTGAATTTACAAACATGTAGGACAGACGTTAATAAATACGATGTGAACTCTTAGATTTACAAGAATACATTTATTTAAATTATTTTCAAACTTTAATACATTCAAGCCCTCGCAACGAATATTACCATAATAGGGCGAGCAATATGAGAATTAAATTAGTTGAGAGGTTACAACTTTTGGATCATAAATCTGAGGTCAAAACTTTTGGATCCTAAATCTGAGGGCGAAACTTGTTTGACTTAAATCTGGTAAGTCTAAGATTCCTAGGATTAGCCGGCATCGCAGATGAAATATTTATGACACGGAATTTATTTAGAAATGCAAAACCAGGTGTCAACCAAAATATATACAAACAGTTCAGGGACCGATTTTAATGAGTTTGAGCTACGTCACTGGATTACCTTCTGCCGGTTCAAATTGGAACCACTGATTCAAAGGAAGGCTTTAAATCAGCGATTCAAATTTAAACAGGCAGTAAGCAGTTTAAATTCATTAAATTAGGTATCAGAAAATATTTATTTTAATAAAAATATGTTAAAATCATCAATCTTGAAACAATTCAAAAATCATTGATAACCTTGAATTTAACAAAAAATGCTTAAAAACAGATTTTTTTGCCAAATCATTTAACAGGCCATTAAAAGACTAAATTTACGCGTAAAAACCCAGCAACAATTTTATTATTCTTACAGAGTTTAAGGGTGGTCATCAAAGTATTACGTTGTGGATAAATATAGAGGAAGAAAAACTGATTTCTAAACTGTATTTTGTCATTTTTAAATTTTATTTTCAACCATGTTAGAATAAAGTGATCTTTAAAAAAGAGTTAATAAATTTAATCTAAAACTCAAGTTTATGAAATCATGAAATTGAAAAGGTATAAATAGTACATTTAACATTCAAATTAATTATAATACTTTTATATTTTAGAACGTTGTATGCAGGCATTTACAGAACTTTATCCGGGGGGGTTGGGGGAGGGGGGGGGGCGCGGTCCCATGATAATAAAAATGTTACTTTTACAGGGGGGAAGGAAAAGCCCTCTTATCCTCCCCCCTCCCCGGTTGTATGAAGGTATGCCCATCCCCCAAACATAAATGGACAATTCCTACAATTTATTTAAATTATTTTTTAAATAGATTCTGTAGAAGTTTGTAGAATTGAAAAATAAAAGTTTAGAATTTATGAATCTTGGAATTGAAAAACTTTTGCAGAAGACAGTTCTGATGAAAGATTTTCTTGAGGATGTTTCAAGGGATTAATCACCTGTTTAAAGATACACATAAATACTGAAAAGATCGGAATTATGGAACACAACCAAGCTACACAGCTTAAACATCGCCTGAAGGGATAGAACAATCTGACGCTCTCTCGTGTTTTGCCAATTGTTTTTTAATATTGTTTATAATACTTTTCGTTTTATAAAAACAATGTAAAGTGAAAAATCGTTGAGTTCCTGTGTCCCAAAAAAAAAACTGACACAAACTCGAATTTTCTAATCCCTGTAGTTTTGCAACCTAAAGGTTTAAACCAATGACCAATTCAAACTTAGATTATTTGTTCTAACAAAATTCAAAGTTTGAAATATCTAAGGTATTGAAATTAAGTTGCAAAGATATAGGGATTATAGAAACTAGAGTTTGGGACAAAGACTCAATCCTTTGTGTAAATTGTATATTTTCAATTCCTTTAAATACCCGGGGATTTTACAAAGCTTTGCCATCTTTGTTTAAACTTTACAATTGTTTCTCGGAGCGAGTACTTTTGAGATTTGATAATTTGTTCATATTTGGTTTCTAAGTTTTACGTTTTATTAACATCATCTATAAAAAAATTAAAAAGCAAAGGATTCTAAATCGTTAGTTCGTGCTTTTTAGAAGAAAAAAATATCATTTTACGTGTAAACTCAGGTTTTTGTATAAATTATGATTATACGTATAAACTTAAGTTTTTGTATAAAATGCTAAAATAATAAATGATACAATAACAAATTGAACCAGAAATTCTATCTGCAAAGTTTTACAAATATTAGCATTAGACTGAGTTACTTTAAGTGGTTTTATGTACACACAACAATAATTTCTTCACAACATTTCTGATTTGTCATTAAATTAAACAAAAATTGTTAAAGGATAATTGCTGCTCTATTGGCAGTTCTAATCAAATAGTAAAATTCTGCGAGAAAATAATCTGACATCGTTGCAACCTCATGTAGACCTTTCATATTTCAAACTAGGAATTCTGCTCAAATGGTCAAAGTTTGAAATATCAAAGGAGGAAGAGATATGGGGGTTGGAAAATTAGAGTTTAAAGGGAGTGTTCGCGAAAAATGAAAGGGGGTATATGCTTAATGCGATAAAAAAGCGCTTTTGATCGCTACTAATCTTACTTCTATCTGTTGCGTCTATAAGGGGAAAATTGTTAAAGACGTCTCACACCGAATAACTTAGCGGCCATACAAATTGAGAAAATTACAACATACTACTTAGACCGTAAAAAAATCAATTTAATTTCAAACGAATCATTTAGATATTACAACCTATATTCATCGATTATCTTTCGCCACATTTGTATATAGTTTATATTTTATAATATTTTATTTTTTTAGAAAACGTTTTCAACGGATTTCGAAAATTGTGAGTGGTGTGCGGTATTCTTAGATAGTTGCGCAAGCGACAAGAGAAACAAACAAATTAATTAAAAAACATTATAAAATATAAACTATATACAAATGTGGCGAAAGATAATCGATGACTATAGGTTGTAATATCTGAATGATTTGTTTAAAATTAATTTGATTTTTTACGGTCTAAGGCAAAAGTTACAATTTTCTCAATTTGTATGGCCGCTAAGTTATTCGGTGTGAGACGTATTTAACAATTTTCTCTTTATAGACGCAACAGATAGCAGTATGATCAGTAGCGATAAAAAGCGCTTTTTTATCGCAATAAGCCTATAGCCCCCTTCAATTTCTCGCAAACACTCCCTTTAAGACAAGTAACCAGTTACTTGATGGTGCTGTCTTTAATTCTATTTGAGATGTACTTTCATTTTTATAATTTCTATGGATTTAATTTTTTTTAAATAATATTTTTTGTTGTTATTCATTTTCTCAAAATATCATAGATACAGTAGAACCCATAATATTGTGGAATAGGAAGACGACATCTTACCAATCTTATGTGTATTAAATGCAAATAGTTTTACCAGTTGCTCGAAATTTAACTTACTAAATGACTGTAGGGTGTCCTTTTAATCTTGCAAATCAAATTGCTGTAACTTTGTTATTGTTTGGAATTTTTCCAATCTGTAAAACATTTTGAGTAATCAAAATATGAACGTTTTGTTTTCTAACTGGATTCACTTCTGTTTATTTAACAAGTGTTAAAAAATACCACCATTTTCTGCATAATTCAGCTCTAGCGTAAAAATCGACTAAAACTCTGATAAGTATTTCGGAAGGGTTGACTTTGAAGAGTAATAACTCTTCAACGAAAGCAAGTATCTGAGGTAGCCCTTGACCTTGGCTTTCTTCGTGCAAAATTATCTAACCCGTGCAAAATTATCTAACCCGCCCACCCAAAGAAAGGTGAAACTGCCGTGAAACGTTTTATCGAAATAATGGCGTATAGGAAAACTGAATTTGTATTTTTTTTTCTGCAACACATGTTGCGGATATTTTGTTATATCGCAAAACGTTTATATTACAGTCGGACACCCTGTTTATCCACAATTGCGGAATATCAAGTTCATAATCAAACATTTAGTTGAGTCTAACAATCGTCTTATTTCGACTCAACAATTTTATGGGTCTCTCTGTTCTCTCTGCTCTATGGGCTGGTACCGAAGCTCTGTGAAGTCCATGGTAAACCGGCGGATGGTGGACCTGATACGGCAGAGAGAGGACAGGAAGGAGAACCGGAGGAGGAGGAGGAAGGACCGGAGTCCAAGACTGTTCGGTCAACAGAGACGACTGGCCGGGCATGTCTGACGAGGAGAACCCAGGGTATTTTGTAAATATTGTAGAGAGGATCACAGAATTTTGACATCGGCTCCATATCACAGTGCCGCCGGTGATTGTTAATCTAAACAGTAACAGTTCGTTAACAACAAAGGAATCTTTTTTAATCCGCCCCAAATTCTAATTTTCTCTTTCTTATATCTTTGCAACTTGTTTTATATATCAAACTTTGACTGTTTAATCAATGGTCTATCGACAATAGACATCAGGTTACAAAGACATGACGATTAGAAAATTAAATTTTGAGCGAGTTATTAATTCCTCTGTCGCCATTTTTTAAATAGAATACTTCATCCAATACATCGGAGAATGTTAAAGTTTTTCTTTTCTTTTTTACTGTCAACGAAACTTTAAGTGAACCCCCTTTTAAAGAGTTATATACCCGATTCACAACGGCACCATCCAGCAATGGGAAAGATATGTCTATCGGATTTATAGACATATGGAAAAGTAATAAATTCTGATAATTTCCTTCTTTTCTCTGTTTCATACATAGAGAATAGAATATATAGAGAGGAATTAACTAGAAAAAAATGTAAAACGGCCATTTTGTTGTACTGTTTCCATACTGCAGGATAATTCCTCTCTATATATTCTATTCTCTATGGTTTCGATCATATATCCGCAATCTATAGAGAAAATAGAGAGTCACTTAAAATAACGTCCACAGTCCCTTTAACTATTTCAAAAACTTAAATATTACAAATTTTCCATATTCAAAATATTGCTCGGTTTTCTTGACAAAAGTTTAACAAAGGCTTAAGTTATTTTTCAAATTTAAATTGTCTCCCTGCTGCAGTGTGTTCAAGTGTTCGGCAGTGTGTTCAAGTATTCGGCAGTGTGCTCAAGTGTTCGGCAGTATAATCAAGTATTCGGCAGTGTGTTCAAGTATTCGACAGTGTGTTTAAGTATTCGGCAGTGTATTCAGGTATTCGGCAGTGTGTTCAAGTATTCGACAGTGTGTTCAATTATTCGGCAGTGTGTTCAAGTGTTCGGCAGTGCATGTTTAAGTGTTAGGCAGTGCATGTTCAAGTATTCGGCAGTGTGTTCAAGTGTTCGGCAGTGCATGTTCAAGTGTTCGGCAGTGTGTTCAAGTATTCGGCAGTGTGTTCAAGTGTTCGGCAGTGTGTTCAAGTATTCGGCAGTGTGTTCAAGTATTCGACAGTGTGTTCAAGTATTCGGCTGTGTATTCAAGTATTCGGCAGTGTGTTCAAGTGTTCAGCAGTGTGTTCAAGTATTCGGCAGTGTGTTTAAGTGTTCGGCAGTGTGTTCAAGTGTTCGGCAGTGTGCTCAAGTGTTCGGCAGTGTGTTCAATTGTTCAGAAGTGTGTTCAAGTGTTCGGCAGTGTGTTCAAGTGTTCGGCAGTGTGTTCAAGTGTTCGGCAGTGTGTTCAAGTGTTCGGCAGTGTGCTCAAGTGTTTGGCAGTGTGTTCAAGTGTTCGGCAGTGATCGGATACAAACATAAAAATTGTGATTACTGACACTAAATAAGCAGCTAGTGAGTAGGTAAAATAGGCAAATGATAGGCCGGGTACTGTAAAAAGTCTGGCTGCGCCATCAAAGTTGAAACCGAGCCAGTATAGGATAGGGTCGGGACGATACAAGGGGTCTGTCTGGTTCCAATTAGGTATCGATGCGTATATGCTTTGTATTTACAAATGTAATCTGTTCACCCTCAACTAAGCTGTCGGTGCGTTCTGCAGTTATTTGCAGTACACTGACCGAAGATATAGTAGCGTTTAGTGGAGAGTGTTTAATGTATTTGAACAATTGAAAGACCGTCTAATTCTTATACCTAACAAAAAACCCAACGATGAATAAGAATTGAAAAATTTCAAATTGTTAGAAGAAAATTGGAAAGTTTTGTGTAAGTTTCAAGAAGAAGAGCTCGGATCTTTCTTTCAATCCAAGTCTCTAAACCAAACAAACAAAAAGTATGTTGTAGTTCAAGATAGTATTAAATTATAATTCGGATTCAGTTCATTAAGAATAATAAAACTGGTAGTACAGGAACTGAGTTTTTGACACAAACTCAAATTTTATTATCTCTATATCTTTGCAGCCCAATGTCGTGGAACTTACTTATTTCAAACTATGAAATCTGTTAGATGTTGTAAATGTCAAATGGTTTATAACATTATGTTTCAAAAATATAGAAATTAGAAAATCAGAGTTGTGGCGAAGACTCAATTCCTTTATGAAATAGACGTTTTAAAATTTGATGATTTCAAAAATTGGTATTTTGACAATGTTTTTTCTTGTATTTAAACCCTTTTAAAAAACATGCTTAAAGGTCTTGTTTAGGATAGAAAATATTCTCTCCATTTATTATAACTCACAAAAATGTATGACTTACCATTTTTGTAGTTGTGAAGAATATGTCGTCTTTGGTAGCAATGAGACTAAGTTTAGGCAGATGAAGGGTTTGGAGTAAATTCCCATTTATAGTTGACCGAACCTAAATATGAATATATATTGTATAGTTGACCGAACCTTAATATGAATATATATTGTATGTTGACCGAACCTAAATATGAATATATATTGTATAGTTGACCGAATCTAAATATGAATATATTGTATAGTTGACCGAACCTAAATATGAATATATTGTATAGTTGACCGAACCGAAATACAAATATATATTGTATAGTTGACCGAACCTAAATATAAATGTATATTGTATAGTTGACCGAACCTAAATATGAATATATTAAGTATAGTTGACCGAACCTAAATATGAATATATTAAGTATAGATGACCGAACCTAAATATGAATATATATTGTATAGTTGACCGAACCTAAATATTAATATATATTGTATAGTTGACCGAACCTAAATTCGTCACTGAATTCCCATGTTTTTTGGGACACCCTGTATATTGTATTCAAAGCTCATAGCCCGGGAAACAATAAATAACAGGTTTCAAAGAAAGCGCGATTTCCCCAGAGGGATTTTTCTACACCTTGCATCAAAATAATAATTCTTTGAAAAATGTAAATTATTATTTAATTTTACGAAATAAAATTAAAATATGCTTCATTTGACAGATGTACCGCCCCAGTCAAACTCCACGCTCATAGCTCATCAGAGACCCGACACTTGATTCTAGAAATAGCACCCGAGGGCGCAATGTCGCTCAACTGAGTAAGCAGAGAAGCGATTTCCGTAGGAGTTCTTTCAAGTGACCCTTCATGCAAAGATAGAAATGCTCGATTTACAACGGTCCCCTTGAAACATTGATCTGATCAAAAATGTGGAAAAAATGTTGTTTTTCTGATTCAAAAAGTGTTTATTTATGTGAGTTTCTCCATAGTTTCTTGTAAGCAAGAAATATTCAAATCACTTTTATTTAAATAAACAGAAACATTAATATCTAATTCATACTTGATCAGACAAAGCTTTCAAGGGTACCATGATGAATCGGGCATTAACATTTTTGCATAGATGGTCACTTAAAATTACGTTCACAGTCCCTTCAAAAATCTGAAAGTGTATGGGACTGTAAACTTAGGTTCAGTGCCGACCTTTAAACAGCCTAGAGCAATCTGTACAGTTCACATACAGACAGACAAAACGGGACGGTACACCAACGGGACGGTACAAAATAGAGAGTCACTTAAAATAACGTCCACAGTCCCTTTAACTATTTCAAAAACTTAAATATTACAAATTTTCCATATTCAAAATATTGCTCGGTTTTCTTGACAAAAGTTTAACAAAGGCTTAAGTTATTTTTCAAATTTAAATTGTCTCCCTGCTGCAGTGTGNGGAATCATCACCTTTATGTTTCTTGTTTTGGTAGACATGAGAGTTTAGTATTATTCTTTATTTGATTTGGTTTAGTTTTCGGTTAAAGTTTTCGGTTGTATTATTTAATATTAAGTTGCAAAGGAAAACCACTAATTAATATTGCGTAGATGAATCTGTAGAATGTATAATTATTAATTATATAGAGGATTAATTTATATGAATGGAAGTCAGTTATACTGATGTTTATTGCATATATCTTAATGTACCGTAATATGTACTGTGCATAATTGATTTATATATTTGGTTTGGTTTGGTTATGATATTTTAGCACAGTGATACACGAGGGGAGGAAGGCCAGCCACAACAATTTCTCGTCCGAGCCACATTCTCCTCATTTTCTCGTCCAAGCCACCTCGAAATCCTCCTCCTTCGCTTATTATGTTTTTTAAGTTTCTAAATCTTGAAGATAAAGCTATCTTTTAAAAATCAGGCCACGTTAGGGCATAAAATATGGATAGACTTAAGTATTGCAATGATTACATCATGTTGAAATCTTCAAAGCCATGAGAATGATGTCAAACTTTATTTAGGTGAAACTTAAATCTCTTCTGCCTCCGTAATGGCTAACCTTCGTGATACAAAATAAATAGCAAAATATTTGGCATACCTCTGCCTACAATTTTCCCCATGGAAACACCCGAAAAAATTCTATGGTTTTCGCTAAAATTACAAAAAAAAATCAAAGTTTTATAAACTTGGAATTATTTGCCTAGATTATCTGAAAATGCGCGTAAGAAAGGTGAATATTTTTCAGGACATTGTACTCAAAAACTTAAAATCTATTGAAAGTATTTCTTTCTATTTACAAAAATTTAATATTTCGTTAATGCTCTAACGTGACCGGATTCTTAAAAAATTGTTTTATCTTGGAGAATTGAACACTTTAAAAAGATAATATTCGAAGGACGAGGATTTCGAGGTGGGTCGGACGAGAAAATGAGGAGAATGTGGCCATCTTTTTATTTTGAAAATAGTTTTTTATCCAATCAAAACATAACCTTCTCAAGTCATATAAAAATACCCGAACACTTGTTGCTCATGTTTATTTGGACACCCTGTACACTGTACAGTGTACATGTTGCTTATTTCTAGACTTTTTCCACATACGCAAAGAGTGTGGATAGTTCAGAATTGTCTCAATGAAAATCTGTTCAGATTGGTTTATATATACTCAAGTATTATTGTAAGTCTGTTAAAAACTTCATTGTGAGTGGCGAAGGCATATCATCCATGTGTTTTTACTCTGTTGCTAGTGATGAACTGTTTTATACAGGGTGTCCCACATCATATTAGACCGAGAACGGGTCTAAACTCTAAATTACGATTTTCGGGACTAAGTAGAAAATTTTATTAGAATGAATCATTTTGAAAAATAACATAAGGCTTATATAAGAATTTTCTTGAGGAAAAGTTTTTCGAGTATTAAGGGTTTATTTTGGTGTTAAAGATTGGAGATAAACTAATATGATATGGGACGCTCTGTATTTTTGAAGAACTACTTTGATAGTTTTGTCGAATGAAGAAGAAGCTATTGTTTTTGAAGCTAAAACGGCAGACTTAAAAGGGACATTTTTTATATTCGCGTTTTCGAAAAAGAATTGTTTTTATTTATTGCTTTTTTCTTTCTACCATAGCCTCAAATTCTAAAAAAAATCATTGATTATCTAAATATCCAATTACCTCTATAAGTGATGTTTACATTACATTTTTGGTTCGTGTTAAGTCTTTGTTATATTTCAAAATCGAAATTTTGCATAATATAAGAAAAAATTAAAAATCTTTTTTTTTCATTTTTAGGAAACAAATATTGCAAAGTTTAAAAAAAAACTTTCTAAAAGTTTTTGAACCTGGGAAGTTAAAAAAATACTTTTTTGTAAGGAACGAAAACTATTAACAGCACTAATTACCTCGAAGCTATCTGGAGAAACTATTAAGTTATTAACAACACTAATTACCTCAAAGCTATCTGGAGAAAACTATTAACAGCACTAATTACCTCGAAGCTATCTGGAGAAAACTATTAACAACACTAATTACCTCAAAGCTATCTGGAGAAACTATTAACAACACTAATTACCTCAAAGCTATCTGGAGAAAACTATTAACAGCACTAATTACCTCAAAGCTATCTGGAGAAAACTATTAACATGCACTAATTACCTCAAAGCTATCTGGAGAAAATGCCAGGGTGTAAGGGAAGGCGGGCACAACCTTTACAATTTCATTCAAAAAACTATTCAAAGTTAATCTTTTTCCAAATCTGAATATTCGAAGCATCCTTCAAACATAAATACAAACAACTTTTAAAATAAAATTTACAGTAACAACCAAAGCTAAAAAAATGTGTTATTGATTTTTGATTAAAAATTAGGATATTCTTTTAGGAGCAATAATTCTCTTTATCATATAATATATGAGACCTTTAAAATAATTTTTAAGTTAGGAATTGCGATTTTGAAACTATTTTAAACATTTAGCTTCAGTATTATACAAATATTTTCTAAATAAGAAAGAACAGTTTTTCCTCTTAACAATAAATATGTTAAAAAAGAGGCAAAAATAATTGCAATTAAAGAAAAATACTGCTTAATTATCAGGAGTGTGACTGAAATCTAGTTTTTATTTGTAAACAAGAGACTGTTCACGTTATTTCAAGTTTAACTTTAAAACTTTTATCTGAGTAACTATAGATGTAGATAAAGTCGTTTTTCTATCATCAAAATATTTTGTCAATTTCCCTAATTGTCTCAACTGCGAAACTCTGCAGGTAAATTGGCAAGGTTATCTCCATCATTGATGCTCAGATGAAGGTTTCAAGGTTACAGTCGTGAGTAGGGCGTACAAACTCTTCAAACTAAGGGTAACTTGAAATTACGTCAACAGTCCCTTTAAACAAATATTTTTTGTTTGTTTAGTTTGCTGAATGTTCCTTGTTAGGTTGGCAGTTCCATTGTATCTCCCTGAGAACCTGCCATGAACCTGCTCCGGACTCACGGAGGAACAGAGAGGTGCAGGAGTGGGTCACTAGGAGCTCCTCCCTCTCATCCTCCCAGATCTCCTGGATACACAGCAGGGATAATACAGGATGTCCCACGAAACATAACAGTTGAGAGACGACTTGACGATCGTCTTCGGTCTTTAAGATAATTTACGGCACGCATTCGTCGACCGGCTCACCGCCGAGAAAAAAGCCTAACCGTACGGTTTATTTTAGACATGAAGGAGAACCCAAACATTAAACCTTTGACTGATCAATGATCATAGAGGTTCAAAGGGTGCTTTTAAGAATCGAACATGACACTTTACACTTTAGGGACGCTTAAAATCACGGCATGGGAGGGGGGTTTAATTGGAGAGGCAGGGGGGGGTCCAGTAGGAGAGGCAGGGGGGGGTCCAGTAGGAGAGGCAGGGGGGGGGGGTCTAGTAGGAGAGGCAGGGGTGGAGGTCCAGAAGAACCACAAGAGGACGGAGCCAAGGTGTGTTCCCTACCTGTACATCAGAGGGTTCACAATCTATGGTTAGAATGTCTTCTCTAGCCCCTGTACTCACATCTACCATCTCAAATCCTTTCCTACGATACATAAATAATATATATAATCATAGATTATTAGACGGATAAATCACCTCAAGCATTTAATAGTTGAAATTGTTGATATGCTCTACACTCTGCAGCGGTTTATGCCAACTTATTTATTAGAATTTGTAAATTGAAAAACTTTCTGGAAACTTAACATTAAAGGAAATTGTACAAAACTAAAGATGGGGTTCACAACTTGTCCTATTTTACGATTATAGCCTGCAGCATAAAGTGGAATAATAAGTTATCTAATTAGAAATGTTGCTAAGGGTTTAAAACTTGTAACTGATGTACTCTTTTCACTACGTTTTCATTACGTTTTCATTACGTTTTCATTATTTTTTCACTACGTTTCCACTACGTATTTATTACGTTTCATTACGTTTTAACTACGTTTTCATTACTTTTTCAAGAATATACAAGTTTACCCGTAATAGATTAATGAGACTAAATGGAGACGACTGTACTGAATTCAGTCACTCTTTTTTCTGATATTTGTGGTTTCCTATATACAGTGGAAAAGGAAGACGACTGTGAGACTAGAGCACAAAACAGGTCATAGAATGATAATTGCCGCGGACCACCCTGCTTATCTAGCCTGAACGAGCCAGCTGCATGTGGGTCAAAACAAAGATTTAGTTTGTTACACGATAAAGTAATCATTGAGGCAATGTGCCTGAGGACTTAGGCTGTTAGTATAAAATCCCGATTTTAGACCTAAAGGTAAGGCTATGGTTACTTAGGAAAAGTCAGAAAATTTCAACAGCCTTCGGCCAATACCTTTAGAGTTCATAAAAAAGAAACTACAGGGGTGGGGGGGATCAAGTTGACCCCCCTCCCCCTCCAGCAGGAATAGGGTTATCACTAATAGTTTCCGGTCATCATTAAAAGTCTCATCTTTTATGGGTAACTCTGTATAAGTCATAAGTAACCATTACATATTATAAGATCTATATCTCCATTAAGCTTAAACAAAGAAAGATTTCATTCTGCTTTATACCGGTAATAAACATACATTATATACCACTTGTTTTATGGCTATTATAGTAATTGAGTCCTTACCACAAACTCAACTTTTTTAAATCCCTATCTCTTGGCAACCCAATGTCGTAAACCTTAGATATTTCAAACTATGAATTCAAAAACTCAATTTCTTAGTGATGTAGATTGTTTACCGTGTTCCGACCACCATACTTCCTTCAGATCTACCCTCCACCTCCGCCTCCTTCCTCTCCATCCTTCTCTCCACCAGGGACACCACCAGGGGCTGCTCCAGGAAGGTTAACTCCTATGAAGATTAGAACATTAAATAAATTTTGAAATCTACCTAGTTTCTTGCTTCTGACCCCCCAAAATTAAACACGTGCAGATAATTTCCATGGTCGGTCCTAGCCGCAGCACTTGCTCTCCTGTCTTAGCTGCAGCACTTGCTCTCCTGTCCTAGCCGCAGCACTTGCTCTCCTGTCCTAGCCGCAGCACTTGCTCTCCTGTCCTAGCCGCAGCACTTGCTCTCCTGTCCTAGCCGCAGCACTTGCTCTCCTGTCCTAGCCGCAGCACTTGCTCTCCTGTCCTAGCCGCAGCACTTGCTCTCCTGTCCTAGCCGCAGCACTTGCTCTCCTGTCCTAGCCGCAGCACTTGCTCTCCTGTCCTAGCCGCAGCACTTGCTCTCCTGTCCTAGCCGCAGCACTTGCTCTCCTGTCTTAGCCGCAGCACTTGCTCTCCTGTCCTAGCCGCAGCACTTGCTCTCCTGTCTTAGCCGCAGCACTTGCTCTCCTGTCTTAGCCGCGGCAAGCTAGGCCCAATTTAATAAAACTCAATCTTAATTTCACATTATTTAATGGGTTTGGGGGTTGGGGTGTCCCCAATTCTCGTGCTAGGATTGGAATCCCCTATTTTCAAAGAAAATCACAGCTTTTGGACCAAGTTAGAAATATAAAAGCTTTACACCGTTAGGTTGTGAAGATATAGGAATAAGAAAATATGAGATTGTGGCAAAGACTCAATTCCTTTGAGTAAATGTGGAAAAATCTGTTTACCTGAACTTGTGTAAACCCCTGAACTGTATCATCAGTAAATGTAAACCACTCCTCAGCATGTATCCAGGAATATACAAGGGTTTACCTGAACTTGTGTAAACCCCTGAACTGTATCATCAGTAAATGTAATCCACTCCTCAGCATGTATCCAGGAATATACAAGGATTTTCCGTCCAACAATAATGGCCAATCTCAGCCCGCTGTGATTCCTAGAATATAGAATATTTATAGAATTCATCACAACAGAAACATTGACATTTATTACAAGTTGATGATACACATTTTTTGTTTGCTAGTCATGCTTCTTAATGCAAAATGGCCAAAACACGCAAATAAAAAATTTTGTTATGATTTTTTAAACATTGTGTTATGGGCCTGGGGCAAGGATAAATATGCCACACTATTGAACAAAAAACCTGAACACTTGGCTCAAACTCAAATTTTCTAATTCCATATTTTTGCAGTTTTGCAGTTCAAAATATAAATTCTGCTTGATATAAGAAAAGTCAAAGTATGACAAATATTGTTTCTTTGTAGTAAAGCAATTTGAAAAAGTTTTGAAAGTTAAGATCTAAGTCGAAAAACCTTAAATGTTCAAAAACAAACCACATCCCTAGTTACCTGTTGGATACACTGTACCCGGAGCAACCTCTGCTCGGCTCTAATCCATGCTCCCTGTCCAACCAATCAATCAATCAATATCAACAATTGTATAATTGTCACGTCACATTCTTTAAAGAATGGTTTAAAAACGACCAAATCTGTTAAACAATAAAACAAGGAAAACCTCAAATATTTGTTTTCAAAAAGCCTGTACTGCAATTCCTGGAAGTAATGGAAACAGACTTGAATATACTTTTTTGCAAACGACGTAGGTTTCCCACAGCCCAAAGCTCAAGACAGGGTAATGTTATAAAAATCATGTTTTGGAAACCAGGTTTTACGAAAGGGGTAAGACAATTTTGTGGATATCAACTCGGGATTTTCGTTCAAGGATACTCTTTAGAGGCGTATTCAGGGGGGGAGCTATAGGGGCTAAGCCCCCCCCCCTGGAACAGTGAAATCTATTGATTTCAGTGGGTTTTCAGGCCCCAACGGGTGCTAAGACCCCCCTGGACAAATTCCTGAATACGCCCCTGATACTCGTTTAAATATCAGGCTCTATGATGTTCTTCCTTCCATCGTAACTCGTGGTTATTACTCAAACTGTGCTTCTTATTAATTACAAAATAAAAACATATATTGTTATCCTGAACTAAATTGATTTTATTAAGAACCCCTAAAAAACATAAAAATTTTAAATAAATATTTTTGGTTATTTTCCGGAATAGAAAAATATTTTTTATTTTTCAGTTAAGTCACGTATTTTCATATATTTATCCAACAACTGAAAGCTAATCTAATTCACAAGTGTTTGTTTTTCAAAATATTTTGGTTCAGAGTGTTATTTTTCATCCAATCCTTCCAAGAATTAATCTGAGATGTATCTTCACAACAAAAAGGTTCTTTGTATTGTTATACATTTGTGTGTGTGTTTTAAGGATCCTTCATGTTAAGCTGGAATGTCCAATTCACAGTGGTACCCTTTAAACATCTTTATGAGAAGCGAAATGGAAAAATTTCTCTTTTTAAAAATTTGTTGATTTCTGTAAATTTCCTTGATTGTCTCAGGAAGGATGAATGTGCATAGCAAATTTTTAGGGAATCACACTTGAAAATAGCGCTTTGAACGGCTCAAGATTGCACATTTTTCCTAATAATTTATCATGGAATGTTCTATTTTGTGCATTAGTACATCAACTAAATATTTCAACAATTTTTTAAAAATCTGTCTTACAGCTTTTGCAGGAGGCCCAAAAAATACAAATTTTTAGGTGCCCACTCTTTATGAGTTCTGGATTTCTCAAAAGTGGTTTGCATTTTTATGAACTCTATAATTTTTAAAATTTTCAATATTTTCGGCATTTAAAAAAAAGATCTTCTTGAGGTTGTGTAATAATTTCTCAAATAAACTTGGATGTTAATACATGTGTGAAAAGGGTGAAACAGAGTGTCTCTGTAAACATGGGAATTTGTCGCTTACAAATCGTCTTTGATTTACGACAGTTGATAATAATAAATGACAAAAATAAGAAAAAGATTGCACGTCTAATATGTCAGACCCATAAAACAGTGGAATACGAAGACGACAATAATTTGAACGTTACAAATTCAGATAATGGGATTAAATTTATCGAACTTTCTTGTTTTTGATTTCGATGCACTATTTATAATAATAACTTGAATCTAACACTCATTTTCCTGTTCAACAGTTTTATAGGTTTCACGGTAGTAAAATCTTCAATAGTTCATTAACCAATAATTTACTCTCTTATTTCCAAATGTTAGTAAAGACACCCTGTGGCCTGTTTAACACTAACTATTGTCAGTTTATTAGGAAACCCTGGACTTCTGTCTATACTGGATTCAGTCAATTCATTGGTTCCTGAGCTCTTCTCTTCCCAAGATTTTGCTGTTAGTCTGTAACTCTGCTAATCTGAATATATATATTGTTAGTCTACAACTCTGCTAATCTGAATATATACATTGTTAGTCTGCAACTCTGCTAATCTGAATATATATATTGTTAGTCTGCAACTCTGCTAATCTGAATATATATATAATATATTGGTAGTCTGCAACTCTGCTAATCTGAATATATTTTGTTAGTCTGCAACTCTGCTATTCTGAATATATATATATATTGTTAGTCTGTACCTCTGCTAATCTGAATATATATATATTGTTAGTCTGCAACTCTGCTAATCTGAATATATATATTGTTAGTCTGCAACTCTGCTATTCTGAATATATATATATATTGTTAGTCTGTACCTCTGTAATCTGAATATATATATATTGTTAGTCTGCAACTCTGCTAATCTGAATATATTTTCTGGCATATTAAGCGTTATTGTCATGTTTCATTACAACATTTATAATTCGTCTTATCCTATCCTATGCCTTATCCAACAATATACTAAACATACATAATTCTTTTCTGCAACCTGGATTTTCTTAATCTCTTAAACCTTCTCCTTCTTCTGAATCTTCTCCTTTTCGTAGACCTACCCTTCTCTAGAACCTTCTACTTTTTCTAAACCATCGTCTTCTCCTAAGTCTTCTACTTCTTCTAAACCTCCAACTTCTTCTAAACCTCCAACTTCTTCTAAACCTCCAACTTTTCCTAAACCTCCAACTTCTTCTAAACCTTCTACTTCTCCTAAAATTTCTCCTTCTCAGAAATTTTCCCCTCCTTGAAACCCTTCTCCTTCTCGTAGACCTTATCATCCTCCTGAACCTTCTCCTTCTCAAAAATAATAACCCTCTATTTCACCTGCTTCTTCTCCCAAACTTTCTCTTTCTATTTAACATTCTTCTTCTAAGAAACCTACAGCTTATATCTAACCTTCTCCTTCTTCTAAACTTTCTACTTCTTTACCCTATCCTTCATTAAGACCTTAATCAACTGAACCCTTTCCTCCTGTATAATCTCCTTCAAACTAAATCCTTCTCTCTTGTATAATCTCCTTCAAACTAAATCCTACTCTCCTATATAAATTCCTTCAACTGAACCCTTCCCTCCTGTATAATCTCCTTCAAACTAAATCCTACCCTCCTGTATAAATTCCTTCAACTGAATCCTACCCTCCTGTAAATTCTCCTTCAACTGAATCCTACCCTCATGTATAAATTCCTTTAACTGAATCCTACCCTCCTGTATTATCTACTTCAACTGAATCCTACTCTCGTGTATAATCTCCTTCAACTGAATCCTACCCTCCTGTATAATCTCCTTCAACTAAATACTAACCTCCTGTATAATCTCCTTCAACTGAATCCTACTCTCCTGTCTAATCTCCTTCAATTGANATACCCTCCTGTATAATCTACTTCAACTGAATCCTAGTCCCTACCCCCCTGTATAATCTCCATCAACTGAGTTCGACCCTCCTGTATAATCTACTTCAACTGAATCCTACCCCCTACCCCCTGTATAATCTCCATCAACTGAGTCCTACCCTCCTGTATAATCTACTTCAACTGAATCCTACCCCCTACCCCCTGTATAATCTCCTTCAACTGAATCCTACCCTCCTGTATATTCTCCTTCAACTGAATCCTACCCTCCTGTATAATCTCTATAAACTGAATCCTACCCTCCTGTATATTCTTCTTCAACTGAACCCTACCCCCCTGTATAATCTTCTTCAACTGAATCCTACCCTCCTGTATAATCTTCTTCAACTGAATCCTAACCTCCTGTATAATCTTATTCAACTAAATCCTACTTTCCTGTACAATCTCCGGCAACTGAATCCTACCCTCCTGTATGATCTTCTTCAAATGAATCCTACCCTCCTGTATAATCTCCTTCAACTGAATCCTACTCTCCTGTATAATCTCCTTCAACTGAATCCTACCCTCCTGTATAATCTTCTTCAACTGGATCCTACCCTCCTGTATGTTCTTCTTCAACTGAATCCTACCCTCCTGTATAATCTCCTTCAACTGAATCCTACTCTCCTGTATAATCTCCTTCAACTGAATCATACCCCCTACCCCCCTGTATAATCTCCTTCAACTGAATCCTACCCTCCTGTATAATCTCCTTCAATTGAATCCTACCCTCCTGTATAATATCTCTAAACTGAATCCTGCATAATCTCTATGCCTGTAAACAACATTGCAATTCCTTTTCCAATAATCTAATCAATAGTATTTGATTGTTCTTAGTCTAGCCTCCTCCCCATTACTCTTCAAAGGGACTGTTTATGCAATTTCAAGGAACCCTGATTACCCTTGAAACCGCTCTCGAGTAATAATGTAAAAGATTGTATCGTTTGTTTTTATTAGTTCTGACAATTTCCTTCATTTTAAGTCACCTTATTACATAAAATAATCATAATGTTTACAGTTAGAAAAATAACTATCTCATTTATTCTTGGTCACTCAAAGCTTTGTGAATAAAACATGCCACTGTATAGATGGGGGTCACTTGAAAATACGTCCTCAGTTCCTGTAAGTGACTTATTACAAGGGTTGGAACATCCAAGGAAAAATTGTGAACTGTCCCTTGAACATATTCAATTACCTGTAAACGTAGACTAGACCCTGATCCTTCCCAACCTTCTCCGTCCTGAAGACCATAATCCCAAGACTCTCCATGATGTTGATTTGCACTATCGGAGACAAGGAGAACACCTTCTCCGGAGCTCCGTTCTGTCTGAAACAATGGAAGAATGATTCCGGAGTTCCGTTCTGTCTAAAATTATGGGAGATAAATTCCGGAGATCCATTCTATCCAAAACAATGGGAGATAAATTCCGGAGCTCCGTTCTGTCTAAAATAATGGGAGAAAAATTCCCAAGTTACATTCTGTCTAAAACAATGGGAGATAAATTCCGGAGCTTCGTTCTGTATAAAACAATGGAAGAATAATTCCGGAGATCCGTTAAGCAGTCAAAAACATTGGACAAATAATTCCAGAGCTCCGTTCTGTCTGAAACACTGGGAGAATAATTTCGGAATTCCATTCTGTCTAATACAATGGGAGAATAATTCCGGAGCTCAGTTCTGTCTAAAACAAGGGAGAATAATTCCGGAGCTCAGTTCTGTCTAAAACAATGGGAGAATAATTCCGAAGCTCCGTTCTGTCTTAAATAATGGGAGAATAATTCCGGAGCTCAGTTCTGTCTAAAACAATGGGAGAATAATTCCGGAGCTCCGTTCTGTCTAAAACAATGGGAGAATAATTCCGGAGCTCAGTTCTGTCTATAACAATAGGAGAATAATTACGGTGCTCCGTTATGTCTAAAACAATGGGAGAATAATTCAGGAGCTCCGTTCTGTCTTAAACAATGGGAGAATAACTCAGGAGCTTCGTTCTGTCTTAAACATTGGGAGAATAATTCAGGAGCTCCGTTCTGTCTTAAACAATGGGAGAATAATTCAGGAGCTCCGTTCTGTCTTAAACAATGGGAGAATAATTCCGGAGCTCAGTTCTGTCTAAAACAATGGGAGAATAATTCCGGAGCTCCGTTCTGTCTAAAACAATGGGAGAATAATTCCGGAGCTCAGTTCTGTCTATAACAATAGGAGAATAATTACGGTGCTCCGTTATGTCTAAAACAATGGGAGAATAATTCAGGAGCTCCGTTCTGTCTTAAACAATGGGAGAATAACTCAGGAGCTTCGTTCTGTCTTAAACATTGGGAGAATAATTCAGGAGCTCCGTTCTGTCTTAAACAATGGGAGAATAATTCAGGAGCTCCGTTCTGTCTTAAACAATGGGAGAATAATTCAGGAGCTCCGTTCTGTCTTAAACATTGGGAGAATAATTCCAGAGCTCAGTTCTGTCTAAAACAATGGGAGAATAATTCCGGAGCTCAGTTCTGTCTATAACAATGGGAGAATAATTCCGGAGCTCAGTTCTGTCTATAACAATGGGAGAATAATTCTGGAGCTCCGTTCTGTCTAAAACAATGGGAGAATAACTCTGGAGCTCCGTTCTGTCTAAAACAATGGGAGAATAACTCCGGAGCTCCATTCTGTCTAAAACATTGGGAGAATAATTCTGGAGCTCAGTTCTGTCTAAAACATTGGGAGAATAATTCCGGAGCTCTGTTCTGTCTAAAACATTGGGAGAATAACTCCGGAGCTCCGTTCTGTCTAAAACATTGGGAGAATAATTCTGGAGTTCTGTTCTGTCTAAAACATTGGGAGAATAATTCTGGAGTTCTGTTCTGTCTAAAACATTGGGAGAATAATTCTGGAGTTCTGTTCTGTCTAAAACATCGGAAAAGTAAACTCCGGTTAATTTAAAATACCGAATTTTAGGCAGCTAGGGTAAATTACAGACTACATAGACGGTAAAACTGGACGGTAAATCAAGTGAATAATCTCCTATAGTTTTATGAGATTATTAAGGTAGAATATAGAAACGATAAAAGAGAATAAAATATGAAAAGAAAAAAACTTTTGACTTAAGTAAAAGTAGAGTCGAAGAAAGGACACTGACGAATTCCGTACATTTTTTTTCGAAATATCGAACACGTTTAAAAACGTAGTTTTGTTCTATGGACAGGAATTGTCTTGTTTAAAGTACACAGTAGTCACATAATATGCATGATCTTCAAAAATATAAAAATAATTTTATAACATTTTAACACAATCATGAATCATGATATTCATTTTTAGTTGATCTGTTAAAAAGTTTATCACATTTCTTTATGAGTCATATTTTCATTCATATTATACCTACTACGAAAAGAGAAACTTTGGTATAAATTAGGGATTCGACATTTAGAAAAATTTTCTTATTTAAGATATTCCAGGAAAAAGAAAAGAATAATATTTTTAACTTGAAAGAGACTGTCGTTGGATTTCAAATAATCTTCCATTTAAAGAGAGGCATGCAGCAGCCAGTTTGCCGGAATCACAACGGTAGCCTTTAATCCTTTCTCTGATCCATATTCTGGAAGATATCTTCGTTTTTCCAACTTTCTGTTGAAGTATTAAATTCTGACTATTTCCTCCATTGTTTCTAAAGCATAAACGCAAAATTTACTTAGTAGAGAACCCGGAGTTTAAAATAATCAATGTTTAAAGAGAAGATGATGTAAGTTGTGAATCAGACATTCCTAGAAATAGAGAAGTCTACGGACAGTACAGTCCCTTTAAGCCTGGTGGAAAATAACGAGACACAACTGTTTTATTTGCTTTTAATGATAATAATTCTGGTTAAAACTAATCAAACATTTTCAGAGATAATTGGGTTTGTTGTATTGTGTACAAAATAAATGTCTTAAAAAATAATCTTGATGTTGTCTCTTCTATAGTTTCTATTCATTCTTAATCAAAATCTCCACCACACTTTTTAAATCAATTTTCTATCGAAGGATGAAATTATTTACAGTTTTTTGATTTAAGATTTAAAGGTTGAAATTATGGGAAGGTCTTAAATAACGCCCTCCCCCCTGGTTTAACCTTATTGACAGTATGTCCTAAAAATCATGAACCGATAAAGGACCAGAGTTTTTGCCATACATTCAAATGATCTATAAATTCCTTTATCTTTGAAACCCAATGGTGTAACCCTTTCATATGAACTATGAAATTTGTTAGATCCGATAATCTAATTTTAAAATATCAAAGAATTATACCAGCAGGTTGCAAAGATATAGGTTTTAGAAAATTTTAGTTTTGGCGACTAGTCGGACGCCGGAAACTCTGGTTCATTACATGTACCGGGCCGACTTTGAACCTGCTAGAGCAAGCTGTACAGTACACAGACAATATAAGGTAAAACGGCGGGGACAGTGTGCCAAATGAACCATCATCTAGTAAAATTTTATGTGTAGAAGTGTCGAGAAAACATTTAAAATAGCAAGACTATTTGCTCCTAAAATATAAATTTTTAAAGATTTTCCCAACAAAAATTTTCCCCAAACTAAACATAAAAATATCTTTTTCAAAACATTTTCAAAAAAATTATTTTACCTAAGTATCCAACCCCCCTCTCTAGCAACAACTAACAGTCCTACTCCTGCCCAGCAGTCTCCAGCTATAATCTCTATCTGAAGACTGGTATGAACACTGAACAAATCAAATTTCAGAATTTTAGAGAAAAATAGGTTTGAATAGAAAAATCTGTAATTTTTGGGGTTTACTGTGAAATCAGTAATATCGAACTACAGGGTTACCCACAAAGAATGAAATTTGAAAGACGATGTTAATGATATATTCATGTTTGCTCTCTTACATTCAGGGTTCCCTGCAACTGTAAGCTTCTTTCTTTTATGCCTAATCATTGAACAAGCAATTTAAGGACCACCTGAAAGCTAGAAGATTTAATTTAAACATTCAAGAGTTTCAAGTCGTCTTTGCAGTCTCAATCTTTGTGGGTAACCCTGTACCAACAGTTTTTTCAAACAAAATGCTTGTATCAATATCAAAAAGTTAAAATGTTAAATTCAATTGTTCGATGTTTTCTTCGAAATTACGATCGATAGGGATACAACAATCCCAATCAGACAGGAATTTAAAAAAAATTCTCGTAACTTTGATCGAAAAGCTCAGAGTTGTTCAATATTAAGAAAAAAACTTGAGTTTTATTTTAACCAATTGAATCAACCTGTACAAATTGAAAGATACGTTTGTTCCAAATTCCCGAAAAACATATTTTTGAAATATGATATTTCCTAACAGGTTGCCAGGGTTTGGAAACTCCAGGTTGAGTTTCTTTTCGTTCTCGTCTCTCCTTACCATATCCACACACTGAATAATCAACCTTTAAATTTTCAATTAAAAAATAATCCGAAGCGCAACTGAACTATGTTTAGGGGGGTCAAATATAATTTGGAAATATATGTTTGTAATAATCAAGGCGCGCCTTAAAGAAAAATCATTCAAAATGCAATAATTTCGAATTTGAGCTAGTTTTACCCTAATGCTTTTATTTATCGATTCTTATCATATTTATTGTTTTCAGAATCAGCTTTGAGTCGATTTTCAAGGGCATGTAGCCTTCATTTCTAGAGAGGCATGTTCGATTTACACCAGGGTACCCAGGAAATCTTTGTTGGATCCCAGGTGAATAAACTTTCCAGAATTTTCGTTGTGAAATTTGATTATTTTCAATTATGGTTCATCTATTAAAGCGTAATTAAGGCGTGCTTTACTGTAAATTTAGGGTCACTTGAAATTTTAACAGAAGTAATATGAATAATTCTGGTTAAAAATAATCAACATTTTTTCTGGATTTAGATTGATATTATTCCAATAAAAGAAGAGGAAGAAAAAATAATTAATTTTACATTTTATTAATAAAACCATTTTACCTGCGTACACGATAAATATGTTATTTCAAATAACAAGAAAGCATCAAAGAGAAACAACTTAATAATAACGAAAATAAAATAATAACCAAATCTTCAAAGGGAAACAAAACAATATTTTGTATTAAATATTTCGGGGAAAATCTAAAAAAATGTTTTTATACATTGCTTAGAGTCTTTCTTTCTTAGAATAATTTTATTATAAAATTGTTGCTGGCCATACAACAATCTTTATTTCGTACATCATAAATATATTCAGTTTTTTTTTGTGCCCAATGCCCTTCTGCAAAAACAACCGAAAACCTTTACAGTGCAATTGCCATGAAAGCTTATAAAATAGCAAAACTTTCATTAGAATCGAGCAATTGAACCTCTAAACTTGCGTGTTTTAAATTGAAACTATAAGGTAAAGTGTCCGACGTTGCCCGTGGAATAAAAAAAATTTCGAAATGTGATAAAAAATGTTTGAATATTTTGAAACAGATACATATTTAATTTTGAAAAAAAATTGAATTTCTTTAGCCTATGTTACCCCAGGGTATCCATGGGTTCCCTCCAACATTTTCCGCAAAATTGGTCCAGCCGTTTGCCTGGCCAGCTATATAGCAAATATACAAATATAATCATATGAGTGAAGAGCTTTATATTATATAGATTATATAGATAGTTTGGCAGGCCTGGCCAGCTATATAGCAAATATACAAATATAATCATATGAGTGAAGAGCTTTATATTATATAGATTATATAGATAGTTTGGCAGGCCTGGCCAGCTATATAGCAAATATACAAATATAATCATATGAGTGAAGAGCTTTATATTATATAGATTTACCCATATTTTCAAGCTTCAAGGACTGCCCAACCTTTACGAAAATATCCTTTCTTGAATTATCTTTCTTCCTAAATTAAAAAGAATTATTCTATGAATGAAGGCATTCGTTTATTTAAATATTTTCAGAATTAAAGAAATTGACAACTTGTCTCAAACTCTAATTTGCAATTTCTATATCTTAAATGCAACCTAATAATGGTGTAAGTCTTTGCTATTTTTGACCATTTGATCTAGCAGAATTATATTAATGGTATCCTGCATCAGGTTAAAGAGCTAAAATTATCAGACAAATAGAATCTGAGACGAGTAATCAGTGCCCTACCAATAAGTCCGAGCAGTGTCTTGAAGACCCTCGGAGAGAACCATTCGATCCCGAGCAGGTTTACTTTCCTCCCCCCCACCATACTGCTCTAAACTATCCTTTAGCAACAGCTGAAATATTTAGATTATTTATTCATTTATTTATTTATACATTTATTGATTTATTCATTTATTTATTTATACATATATTTATTCATTCATGAATTCACCTATAACATTTATTCATTCAACTTTTCATCCACTATTCCTTTCATTCATACACAATAATTTCTATATGATGCATTTTCTATGCATGCTTTACAATATAATATGATTCATTTTCAATTCATGCTTTAAAATTTACGTGTTTGTATTACAGTTAACCCCTAAATAAGCCATACATCGAAAGAATTCATAAAATGTCGTATTCTTCACTTTCTGATAATGGAATGTTGCAGATATTTAGTTTTTCAATTAAATGTTTGTATGGAGCTCTTTAAAATTATTCCCGCATATTCATGGCTATTTTTTAGTTTCGTAAATACTGAGATTTACGTAAAATAGTATAAAATCCATTGAAAAATTGTGAAGACGACATTTGATAAATTCTTTCGATGTATGGCTCATTTAGGGTTTAACTGTATTCCATAAAATTGTCTTTCTTTTTATTATTTTTCGATCTTCTCTCAATTCAGAAGAAATCTAGAATCATTACAAAGCATTTTCATTCATCTTCTTTCTATCAACAAACAAACCTGAAAACAAACACAACTTCTCACAAACACAATATCTCACAAACACAATATCTCACGAACACAATATCTCACAAACACAACTTCTCAAAAATACAACTTCTCACGAACACAATATCTCACAAACACAATATCTCACAAACACAATATCTCACAAACACAATATCTCACAAACACAATATCTCACAAATACAATATCTCACAAACTCAATATCTCACAAAAAAATATATTACAAACACAATTTCTCACATACGCAAAAAAAACACAAACACAATATCTCACACACACACCATCTCACAAACACAATAACTTATAAACACAATATCTCACCATCACAATATCTCACAAACACAATATCTCACAAACACAATATCTCACAAACACACCATTTCACAAACATAATATCTCACAAATACAATATATCACAAAAACAATTTCTCACATACGCAATAACACACAAACACAATATCTCACGAAAACAATATCTTACAAACACACCACCTCACAAAAATCAATATCTCAAAAACACAATATCTCATAAAACAATATCTCACAAGCACAATTTCAATCTTCAATCTTCAAAACAAATTAATATATTCAAAGAATATCAGGTCGTCAATAATGTTCAATCCCGTGTGGGTAATCCTGTAAATATACCTGATAAGTTCTTTCTCTTTTAGTAGCAAAGACATCAGTGTTATAGGTCGCCTTCTCTCCGTTTATACATTTCACCAACAGAAACCGTCTTAAATATATTAATTTATTCAACCTAATGGTTTCTTATTTTAACCAGTTCGTCTTATTTTTAATAAATCTTTGTTTTGATCCTTGCAATTCAAGCTAGGGGTGTGTGTGTGTACAAAACATTACACACCTAAATCAAGGGGCCGGGATAATTAGTGTAAAACATAACACACCTGAATCAAGGGGCCGAGGTATTTAGTGAAAACATAACACACCTAAATCAAGGGGCCGGGGTATTTAGGGTAAACATTACACACCTGAATCAAGGTGCTGGGGTATTTAGTGTAAAACATTACAAACCTGAATCAAGGGGCCGGGGTATTTAGTATAAAACATTACACACCTGAATCAAGGGGCCGGGGTATTTAGTATAAAACATAACACATCTAAATCAAGGGGCCTGGGTATTTAGTGAAAACATTACACACCTGAATCAAGGGGCCGGGGTATTTAGTGTAAAACATTACACACCTGAATTCTTGATGATCTGAGAATCCTGACTGATAAGGAAGAGAAGGACTGAATAATGGAACAGATTTCTCTGCGCAAATATTCTATAATGCACTCTGTCATTTAATTCTAAAATGCCGGAAGGGGGGGGGGGTCAGAAGGTTCTAAGTTTTGATATAGACTAGAAAAAGATTTAACAGGCTACAGCCCAATTTAAAATGTAAAACTTATCCTTGACCTTTATTACTATTTGACAAATATATTGTTTTTTCAAGGGCTTTTCAAAATTGTAAATTAATTATCATTTTTAAATCAACGACTAGATTTTTGTAGACCTGTATCTACAGGGTGTCCCACATCATATTGAACCGTGTTAAAGCTTTAAATTGCGATTTCCGGGACTAATTAGAAAATATAAAAAGAACTAAACATTAAAAAATTGTAAATTGCTAATAAAAATATTCGCATGCAGAAAATACTAGGTTTTTCGAGTATTATGTGCGTATTTTAGCAATAAATTGCTTGGAGATAATCTAATATGATATGGGACTCTCTGTATATTGGAGAATACTTTTTGAAGAAATAACTTTTACATGAAGTCGGTTAAATCTTTATTCATGTCAAGAAGTTTCAAGGTAAAAGTATCAAAAATTGTTAAACTTTTAAAAATTTTCATATTTTTGATATTGCACTTTTTCATTCATGAATTTTAATGATGCATTGAAAAATTTCCCAAGTTTAATTTCTCTTAAGCTTTATGTAAGTCGGAACCTTATCAACGTTTTAACTGTTAGTTTAGTGTGTGTAGTGTGTAGACAAGGTGTTAGAATTATAAACATTTAGTTTTCCCAGACAAAGTTCATCTTAGAATAGAAACTTCTTTAGATAGATGAACTGTGGAGGAAGGGTAGAGCTGTTAGAGTAGTAAAGGGAAGGGGGAATATTCAGAGGAAAATCTAAAAAAATACAATGAAAAAATGACATGGCCGGGGAAAGGAAAAAAGGACAAACTAAGTGAGTGGAAAAAAGGAGAAGAAACGATAAGAAAGAAAAATCACGGTAATCAGCTGACCCAGTCAGTGGGCTTAAACTTTTAGAGACATTTTCTGCCATAGGGTGTGTTTTTCCTACTTCCTATTTACAACTTGTGTTTTTCCTACTTCCTATTTAAAACTTGTGTTTTTCACATTTCCTATTTAAAACTTGTGTTTTTCCTACTTCCTATTTAAAACTTGTGTTTTTCATATTTCCTATTTAAAACTTGTGTTTTTCCTACTTCCTATTTAAAACTTGTATTTTTAATATTTCCTATTTAAAACTTGTGTTTATCCTACTTCCTATTTACAACTTGTGTTTTTCCTACTTCCTATTTAAAACTTGTGTTTTCATATTTCCTATTTAAAACTTGTGTATTTCCTACTTCCCTTTTTAAAACTTGTGTTTTTCCTACTTCCTATTTAAAACTTGTGTTTTTCCTAATTCCTACAGAGAAACCCTTAATAACGAATACATCGGAAGAATTTATCAAATGTCGTCTTGACAATTTTTCAATGACTTTTACACTATATTAAGTAAATTTCAATATTTGCGAAAATAAGTAAATAGCCATGAATATGCGGGAACAGTTTTAAAAGTTCCATATAATCATTTTATTAAAAAAAAATAATATCTGCAACATTCCATTATCAGAGAGTGAAGAATACGACATTTGATGAATTCTTTCGATGTATTCGTTATTAAGGGTTTCACTGTATTTAAAACTTGTGTTTTTCATATTTCCTATTTAAAACTTGTGTTTTTCCTATTTCCTATTTGAAACTTGTGTGTTTGGCTCTAAGCTCAGAAAATATTACCTATGCATTTCGTTTGATATCTGTCATGGCTTTTGATTAAAAAAACGTTTGTTAAGCCAGGACAAACTGATATCTAGTTAGATTGGCATGCTAGAATATTTTGCCAGGGCATACTGATATCTAATTAGGTTATCGTGCTAGTATATTTTGCCAGGACATACTGATACCTAGTTAGATTGGCGTGCTAGAATATTTTGCCAGGACATACTGATATCTAGTTAGGTTATAGTGCTAGAATATTTTGCCAGGACATACTGATATCTAGTTAGATTAGCGTGCTAGTATATTTTGCCTGAGAAGACTGTAAGATGATATTGTGATGTATCATGTTGGTAGGAGACTGCAGCGTAGATATGAGTGAACTGACTCTTTATAAATAACGGATTGAACCTGAACAAAAATTCTCGTTTAATATTTAAATTTCAAAATTTATTTATGATCTAGTTCAATAACTAACAGAAAATAATTTATATTGATCTTACGTAAAACTTTCAAAATTATTAAAAAGATATTTATAGTCAACTATGAAAATGTTGTACATAAAAGATCAAAAAGCTATTTGAAAAAAATAAAAAGTACAATTTAAAATGAACAAAAAAAAATCAAGATCAAAAACCTAATTAATACTTTTTTATAAAGAATATAGAATATTAATTATAAAAAAAATCAATAAAAATAAAGTAATACACAATATCTCACGAAAACAATATCTTACAAACACACCACCTCACAAAAATCAATATCTCAAAAACACAATATCTCACAAACACAATATCTCACAAACACAAAATATATATATATATATATATATCTATACAATTGATACCATTAAGTAAACTGTGTTTGCAATAGATATTATATAACGTACAGAAGGTATCTGATACACATTTTCAGTACACACTGATGTACTTAAAATAGGTTATCTGAAATATAGAAAAAGAATGTCTTGCTTTAAAGAAGGTGTCAAAAAAGGGATTAAATTGATTAAAGGGACTGTAAACGTAAGTCCACGTGACTCTCGATCATGTCCGATTCACAATAGTGACCTTAGAAGCTTAGTCTGTTCAAGCATAAAAGATATATCCATGTTTTTCTCCTGTGGATTTCTGCTATAGAAACAATGGAAGAAATTTTCGGAACTAAACAGTTTTTTCAAGTAACAAAAACAACGATATTTTCCACATTATTGATCAAATAACCGTGATTATACCTCGTTGGAATGGCAACCCTCCTTTTATCTGGGAAAGTAAAAATGTGCGGTTCAAAGCAGGGAAGCTATTGCTCAATCGCAGAAAATAAAAACTAAATTAAAGTTCTAGGAGTGGTAACCTAGCCAATGCAAGTAGATAGAATATGCAGCGCTGAGGCTGCAATTACAATTAATCAAAACAAACAAAAAAGGGTGATCGTGCACTGTCTTATAATGGCGCAAAGGCAGCGCCATAAATGGACGGGAAAAGGGAAGCAAGACAAAGAGAACCTGCAGACATGCAGACGGTGAAAGGAGAAAAAAGATGAACATTTGATATTATCAACTTTGCCTCGTACAATTTTATTTTATGCAAAGTATAAAAAGAATAAATTATAAAACACTTGTAAAAAACCCGTTACAAATCCCACTCTTTAAATAGAGTCTGTTAATTTTATTTTAGAATCATAGAAAAAATATAAATTCTGAACAAAATGAAAATATTTAGTGTTAGCGTATTTAAAACCAAATTTGTTAGGATTAAAATCTAAATTCTAACAATTTTATAAAATTAATTAAAATACAAAATTAAGAGCTGTTTTCCCCGTCTTCCAACGAAAGTGTCTCAAATTAAAGATTTTTGGAACAAGTATTTTTTTACTGTGCTGGGTTTAAAACAATCTCTTATTCGTAGTTTAAAAAATTATTTTTTTTTCAATATTTAAAAAGTTTATAGATCTGTACTACGATATTTATACTAAAAAAAATTATAAGAAACCAAATATGTCTGCTAAGACTATTCAACGTATTATATTAATTTTTTATTAAGTATTTAGATATTAGTATTTGAAGGATCACCTGAGAAGATCTTGTAAGGTGCCATCAACGAACACAATATTTACAATATCATTCCCAATATGTCGCTTTCTCTCAACCTAAACACACAATCGTGAAAGCACTTGGATATTAAGAAAGAAAGAAGGGAAAAAAGCAGAAAAAAGCAAAAAAAGTGCATCCAACCAACGTTGGTTATTTAAAATTCTGTGTTGATGATGCTACAAACCTCACAGAGTAAACAAAATAGATGGTACACTATAGTTTCAGTAGAAGTAAATATTTCCATTTACTGATAGCGCCGATTGAAGGATTCATAACTCTGATTGGATAATGAGATAGATAGAAAGATAGATGTTACCGCCATATTATTTCAATTGGTTCAGTATAGACAACATACACATGACTGAACCCTGATTGGAATGGACTCGGCATACAGGAGTGGTTACTTCCACATTTTTGAAAATATACTTCGGAATAACGATATAACAACCATCAAAATCAATATTACAAGATGTTAAAAATCACAAGAAAATAAACAAAACACGAAACCTTTTTAAAAAATCAAATAAAGTGTTGTCAAATAAAAAAGGGAAACGACCTTAGATTATGATACAGAGTGTCCCAAAAAACATGGGAATTAAGTAACGAATATCCAATTGTCTTTGTTATTAATTAGCATTGTAATACCTGATTTCAAAAGCAATAATATTAGTATGTCTGCTAGAGTTTATTTTATGAAAAGGGTAAAAGGCTGTAAAGATGTGTCTATAATGTGTCCGCAAGATGAACAGTGAAGACGGACAAGTTTACTCTGTTTGTATACTGCAATTTTCTTGTTTTACTAAGTACAACCATATGCAGTCAAAACATAAACAAACAAAATGTGAACATAGCAGACGAAACTCTTACAGATTACAGCTTTCTCAGTAGGTGTCACTATACCATGCACTATACTAAATCAAAGAATTATTTTAAAAGACGATATCGAATTCGTCACTAAATTCCCATGTTTATTGGGACACCCTGTATGTAAAAAAGATCATTTGTAAATATTCACTTCAATTTGGTTTACGTAGAGAATCTTTTTATTAGTGGAATTAGTGGTTTAATGATTTAGGATTTACAAAAAAGATTAACAAGAAATAAGAAATAATAAACGTCATCACTCATCATGGTATAAAAACACTTGTATGGATAATGGATATAGAGGATACAAGGTACAGGGTATATGTGTGTGATATAGGATACAGGATATAGCACAAAGGGTACAAATAACAGGATACATGATACAGGATACAGGATACAACATACAGGATACAGGATACAGGATAAAGGATACAGGATACAAAATACAGGATACATGATAAGGATACAGGATATATGATGTAGGATACAGGATACAGGAAACAAGATACAGGATACAGGATACCTGCTGAATGTCATCAGTAGAGAAAGGAAGAAGTGTAGAGACATGATACATGATTTCATGACCCTCGAACTTGGTGTAATAACTAAAACAAAATAAATAAAAAAAATTCTTTTGAAGTAATTTTGGTAGTGCTTGTAAAGTATACATATATATCTGAAATAGAAAAATACATTTAATATTAGTATGTCAGCACACGAATATATTTCACAAATACTTTTATACATATTTCTACTAATGCAATCAACCCTGTCTTGAACACTGTACTGCACTGTAAACTGAGATATTTGTACTGTCCTATCATATCTCATTGTACACTGTACATGCCCTTATTGTCTCGTCATATCTCTGTGTTCATTGTTCATATCTGTACTGTCCTATCATATCTCATTGTACACTGTACATGCCCTTATTGTCTCGTCATATCTCTGTTTTCATTGTTCATTTCTGTACTGTCCCGTCATATCTTTTTGACTGTTCAAACCTGCACTGTACTGTCATATCTCCTTGTATACTCTACAAAACTGTACTGTACTTTTTATCTCCTTGTATACTGTACATACCTGTATTGTCCTATCATATATCCTTCAATTCTGTGCACTGTACATTGTAAATATCTGTACTGTCCTGTAATATCTCCTTGTATTCTCTACACTGTGCACTGTACACTGTACATACCTGTACTGTCCTGTCATATCTCCTTGCACACTGTACACTGTACATACCTTTACTGTTATTTCTTCTTGTACTCTGAACATACCTGTACTGTCCTGTCATATCTCCGCGTACATCAAGTCCTCCCTTGTATCCACCAAAGTCTTTTAACCTCACTTTTTGCCCTTCGTTGATTCATACTTATTTAGTTCTACTAATAACAATTTAACAATTCATTAAAAATAAAAATATAGAAAAGTTTGATTACAAAAATCAATTAAATTAAAAATTTTTTTAATTTGGTAACTTTTAGTTTGGATATAAAGGAATTGAGTCTTTGTCACAAACTCTGATATATTTTTGCAATCCAATTTCGTAGACGTTAGATATTTCAAACTATGAATTCTGTTAGATCAAATAGCCTAAGTTTGAAATATCAAGGGTTTACACCATTATGTTGCCAAGATATAAGGATTGGAAAATTTTAGTTTGTGGCAAAAACTCAATTCCTTTGAAGTTGAGTGCATTGACGTACTTTTATAGGAAAAACTCCAGGCAAAGCTGGGTTTGGTTTCCAAGCTAGTATTTATATAAAATAGTAATCTCTGATTGTCTGTATGTCTGTTTGTTTGTATGTCCGATCATAACTCCCGAACTCCTGGACAGATTTGCCTCAAATTTTAATTGGCTTTAGTTGTTTAGATATCCAGATTCCAGACAAACCTGAGTGTCCAAGATAGTTATATTATAAAGGTATAAATATTTTAGGATATTTAGTAAGAAAGTAATTCTACTCTCCCTGATTACTTACTAATTATTAATCCCCCAATTATCCACTAATTACTTCACGCTAAAAATAATCAGAAAAAATGTCTAAATAAATAAAAGAAAATAGAAATTATTTTGGTTTACCAAGACGAGGTTGGAATGTTAAAAGTAGCATTTATTCCGAACATTTAGATTATATCCGAGGCAAGATATAAAAAATATGAGTAATTGAAGGGAATGTAAGCGTTATTACAAGTGACCATCCATGCGATGATGCCAATTTACAACGGTACCCTAAACACCTTTCTATGATCAATAATGTGGAAGATATTATCGTTTTTTCTAAAGGGTAAAATAACCTAAGTAATAATATTATTTGATTTTCAAAGACTTTTGGTTGCTTGAGCGTTCAACAATCAACAATTATCATGAAAATGCAGTTATTTAACACAGTATTCAATGTTTTGTTCTAAAAGTGAATGCAAATTAATAATACTAAATTGTATTGCAAAAGTTATTTTATTATTTGTTGGATGAAAATGATCAAAAGTTGATTTACAAAACATTGTAAAAATTATTGGTTCCATGAAGAGAAAATATATTTTTGTGAAATTAAATTTTTTGAGAAAACATCAAAGAAAACGCAGCCTTGGATTCTCAAGAACAAAAGATTTGATCAAAATCTATTTTTTTTTCATCCGATTTTTTTTCTTCAGAAAAGTCCATTGACTTGGCCCTTGCATTGGTCTGAACTGTCCGACCTATCCTAATTTTTAAACAGCCCTGAGAATAAAGAATTCAAAACTTCAAAGAATTTTTCTAACTTTAGTTTTGACGGAGTATTGGACGAAATTTTGATAAATTTTCCCCTGAGAGAATATGAATAGTTTAGTTAACAGTGGAATATAAAATTCTTTTATTTATGTTTTATATTCATTTTACCGAGAAATACAACCCATGCATCACATCAAAAGTTTATTCCCGTGTAATATAGAAAATGTACTTTTTAAGTGATTAAAAGCATTCAATTTAAATGTTTCTTATATTTTTTTCTTTTACATTTGCTTTTCGATCCAACCTTCGTGAAATCCGGTCGCTCCGGTTTATTACAAGTCAAATTCGGTACGGTACAGTTTTATCGTCATTAGTGGCCGTGAATTGGATACTGAACCCAGTGTACACTTTAAAATGAACCGATACGTAAATATTGTTTGTCTGGTTTTTGTTGTCCCATCCTAAAATGGGGCTTCGCAAACTGGAAGAGTTGCTTTCCAATCTGTTCAAAATCTATCTAAGCAAAATACTATATTCTGTTAAAATTTCCCTCCCTCCATGAGCATTGTAAAAATGTATTGAAAAAAGTATAAATAGTTTGTTTCTTGTAATTATTGTCTAATCATTGAAAAGTTTTTGATTATTTTATGATTCCCTGAAAGCTTATTACAGCAGAAAGGACAGTTTTATAAAGTAGAACAAAGCTGTAAAATCTGCTTTAAAAGATAATAAAAGAATTTATAAAATGTTTGAAAAAGCAAACCTTTAGACATCCATTATTTTTCGACGCATTTATATATAGTTAATATTTCGTAATATTTTTATTCGTTTTGTATACAATCATAGATAAAGATAGATTGCGCATAAGACGACATTTTTCATCTTGAAAGATATTAATGTACAGAGATGTTTTAAAGATATTCCTATTATATAGAATAACTAGGTCGGTTGTGAACATTGGCTGTTCTTATGTCATTGAGTACTTGTGGTGTACATGAGTTCTGTAGAGAGAAGTTTAAGTTAGTTTAGTCCTTCTCATGTCCTTTTTCAGTTCTCGTCAATATGATCTGTTGCTCAGTGAAATATTGTTGTCCAAATAGCTCCATTCCCGGAGTTATTTTACACTCTATTATGAAATCCATTAAAACACCAAACCACCCCGCTTATCATTGAAATAAACTTTGACCCCTAGAAGTTTGAGTTCGCGGACTGTACAATTCTTGGTGATTTTACGTACATAAGCTATCTATGTTTATTTATTTATCTATGTATACAATGCACTTAAAACGCAGAAATAGTTGGCCGCCAGATGTCTCTGCTCTTGATGCTTTTAATGATTACACTTGGCAGAACTAGCGGTAATAAGTCGTTTTAAGCGCATTGTACATAAAACAAATAGCACCTATTATGAAATATTAACTTTTTACGAATGCGTCGAAAAATAATCAATGACTTTAGGTTGCAATATCTGAATGATTTGTTTGAAATTAAATTGATTTTACAATACGAGTCGAATGTTGCAACTTTCTGAATTTGTATGGATGCTTCGTTCTTCAGTATAAGTCGTTTTTAATAATTTTCTCCTTATAGACGCAACAGATTGAAGTAAGATTAGTAGCAATCAAAAGCGATTATTTTTCGCCGTAACCCTAGAAACCAGCGACGTCGTGCGACCAGTCCCATTAGGTCGAGATAGGTCAGGTTAGGTCGGGTTACGTCAGATTACCAAACTGGTCGAAACATGACCAGTCCCCCAGGTCGTGTTTGGTCAGTTTAGGTCGGGTTAGGTCGAGTTACCTAACTGGTCTCATACTGGTCTTAACCTAACCAATCCACTTAGGTCAGATTTGGTCGAGATTGGTTGAGTTATGTCAGGAGACCTAACTGGNTGCTCAGTGGTTAATAAATAAATGACTTGTTCATTTGGACGTCAAAAGTTTGGTCATTTGAACGTCAAAAGTTTGGTCATTTGGACGTCAAAAGTTTGGTCATTTGGACGTCAAAAGTTTGGTCATTTGGACGTCCAAAGTGACGTCATTTCGACTTCGAAAGTTTGGTCGTGAGGACGTAAGAATCCTTGCGTTAAACGTCCTCAACACGTCCTCAACACCTAAAATATGACGTCGCCGGACGTCACACTGGTAATTATTGACGTCCCCATGACGACCTTAGGACGTCCTCTGGTTTCTAGGGAAGCCTATGCCCCCTTTCATTTTTCGTGAACACTCCCTTTGATGGTACCGTTTATGAATTGGACATTGCCATCTTTGCGGTCATACTAGAAAAACGCTACACTCATAAAACGCTACATAGTTGAAACGCTACCGCATAAAACGCTATACTCATAAAACGCTACCGGATAAAACGCTAGTAACGAAAAAAACGCTACTCTATCAAATTATCATAATATTAGGTTTGAACTTCAGATTGGATAATAAACTGTATTTTTTATATTATTACTTAAGTTTTCGTAACTTGAATTTTAAAGGGGAAGGGTTACGGAGCTAAGAGGGGGGGGGTGGGAGTTCATGGAAATAGTCAATAATAATACCGTACTGTGTTACTAAATATATAGTGTGTATTGGCACGATTTTTGGGTTTAAGACCGGCGCATGGAAAGCGACAAAATTAATCTTTAACATCATTTCGATACTCAAATATACTCAAATATATATATATTTCGATACTCAAATATACTCAAATATATATATATTTCGATACTCAAATATACTCAAATATATATATATTTCGATACTCAAATAAAAAATCCAACATTTTCACTTTTTTGCTTTTACTGGAGCACAAGTTTTTAAAGAAACACATTGAAGGTTCTAAAACAGTTGCTGTTGAAATCAGCATCTTAACTACTTTTGCTGAATATTTTTCCTGATTTGACAACTCAAGGATGCTTTTTTATCATGCCAAAAGTAAATGGGCGGGTGTTAAAAAAGATGGACTGGCAAAATTTTACTCCAAAATCAGTAGGAAACCAAAATTTGGCAATTTTGTTTGCCTACATAGTGCTAGGACTGTCCAATTCGTAAAAATTGCTGATATTCCCCCAGTCCCTGCTAGGGTATTCAAAAACCAGGATATTCGGGGGGGTGGGGGGGGGGTCAATAAGCTCTAAATCCCATGCTTGATGTGCAAATATGACAAATGATACATCATTGGAAAGCTCTTATGCTCTACTTTTAGAATCTGTAAAAAAAATTGCATAATCCAGTTATATATATTAAAAATGTTTGCAAAAAAATGTCCAAAAATGATAAAATATACATTTTTGACTATTTCAAATATGCCAAGCCATATTTGACATAAATAAGAAGTTTATAGAATGAATTAATTTTGGCTGACCCCTCCCTACTACCCCACTGTGCCCCCCCCCCCAACCTCCCCTAATAAATAAATATGTTCCTATAAGAGAGAGAAAGTTGTTGAATGCAGTACTATTTGCTTGGTTTGAGAGGAGTTCGTCGTCCATAAACTGTCCAGGTTTAGCGTAGATTATTCCAAACTTAAAGTTTAAAGATCCCTCCTGCTTCTCCAACCATAGGATATCCTGTCACAACAACAAACAAAAATAATATTCAATAAAAACATTTTTCCCTCAAAAATCGGCCATTTTTGCAGAATTGTTGTGTCAATATGAATAATGGCAATACAAGAAAAAAAAGTTTTAACATGAATTAAAGTTCTAAAAATCTAATATACTTTTATTTTTTGAATTTCGAGTATTTGGTGAAACCTTAATATTATTTATTTATTATTGTTCAAGTGCAGTTATCAACAAAAGGGAAGGGGGAGACAGTTATCTCAGAACTCTTAAAATATTTCGAGATTGCTGTGCATAATTTTAATTGTTGAACAGGCTTCATTTCTTCTTGAGTTTACTGAAATCATCTAAACGTCAAAATATCTTATATATTCGAAAAGAACTAAATTGAATTTTATTTTAATTAATTTTGTTTAAAAGTAGGATTCACAGGTTTTGGACTAGATATATTGTTTTTGAACTGTAAGCATTGAAAACATTAGTTTTATTGTTTCCATTCAATATCTACACTCAGAACTTTCGTTGATTTGATGGGGGGAAAAACTTTGAAAGCAAAATATGAAGGATTCCTGTAATCTATAATCGATCATAAAACTTATTAGTTTTCCATTATCTTTTTCTTAATCTTTTGATTTTATATTATTTATTTACTCTTATTTATCCTTTCCTTTTTTTATTTTATCCAATGCTTCCCTGGTTTGCTTTTCTTTTCAAAGGCACTAATTACTTATGACTCCGATCATACAATCTCGATATCCGCTGTGAGGACTTTTAACCAGGGGATCTGGATCTTAGCTACCTCTCCGTGTGTATTAGCCTGAGTGTACACTTAGTATAGTTTACTGATAAAGGATATTAAGAGGTTATGACCTAATGATACAGTACAAACATCAAATATGCAGTACGCTCTCAGAGTACAATTGTATGGGTAGGTTTTATATCTTAAATTTTACACAGTTTTCTTAAAACCGCTAACTAACGATGAAATATTGCTCTGTAAAAGACTGTAATAGTTTGTCTTCCTGTGAAAATGTAATCCTGCACACGATAAAAAAGTAGTAGATTTTAATAGTTACATGGAAAACAAATCTCCATTGAAATATTTTATGCACATGGCCTGTACAATTAGTAAAGGATTAGCGTACATCATCACTCTATAAACTATAACCTAGTTGCTTTTAACTTTATGGATCAAAGCTAAATCTCTTCATTTCAAATATTTCTTCCAATTGTTTTTCAAAGCTCCATTCAAACCCTAACTGGGTACGATTCCCATTCTGGATATCGAAAAAAGATTATGTTAATCTGCAGATTAGTAAAAGATCGATATCAAGTATTGATAAAGAGTTACCATTTCTAATGTAATATTGAAACCTTGACTATTAGATCTAGGAAAATTAACAGTTTTAAATATCAATGCTCTGCGACATCTTCTTGCAAAGAAATAGGATTAGATTCTAGTGCAATCAGTTTCTTTTTTTTCTACAAATATACGCTTTCAGTCAATATCTTGTTTTTTCTGTTTTGCTTTGAATTTTTGATGTTGTGTGTGCTGTAATTTAATTAAAACAACTTTAAAAACCTTAGATAGAGAGGATATATCTTGGGGAAGTAGAAATTTTTATTTTTTTTTCTCTTTATTTACTTTCTATCAAATTTCAATCTGCTCTAAGTTTACATCACACTTTGCGTTTTTTCCAATTTGTTTGCGAATTACCTTTTTGTTCCCCCTTTTATTTAAAAAAATCTTTTTTTTTCAATTTTTGTTTTTCCTTTTGTATGTGAGGGCTGACCACTTCTCTGGGTAAACGATCAGGTTTCCCTAGGCAGCTGAACTTACATAAAATCTAGAAAAAAAAATTTAAAAAAAAACATTATATGGTGAAGAAATAAGTTATAAGGATGTAAGCTTTGAAATATACACTTTGGAGTATTCAAGGCTAAGTAGGGGATAGGGATTGATTACATTCTACTCTGACGTATTAGGATGCATTTTTATTAGATTTTTTGTACGCAAACAACAATACAGTGTACTGGGTAAACCAAAAGGGTTACCCACAAAAGATGAGACTACAGTCGTCGTCGTATATATCAATACAATGAAGACGAATTTCGATTTAAAGTTTTGATTTCAAACAGCATGGATACACATATAACGAGAACAAAGAGAAACCGTCGATTAAAAGCTTCTCTTAACTTGTAAACTTGTAATTTGAATACACCTTGTTAGAAATTAAAACTTAAATTGAAAAGTCGTCTTCATTGTATTGATGTAAACCCCAACCACTGTTTAATGATTGGATTTAACTTCTTTTTCGAACATGGAAACATCAAATTATTTGGTAATGAAAATAAAAAAATAAACTGAGATTCCATACAGTCCTATCAGAAGTCACATATTTTTGGGTAACCCTGTATAATACTTATTTAAGTCAAACTAATTTAATTCTTCCTTTAGATTCAAATCTTCTCTGTTTAGCAGAGCTATTATGAGTATTGAGAGTTTAAAATAAATTTGTTTTTCTCATAAATTAAAAAAAAATTGCGTCTGATATATTACGATAATCTAGTTCTTGAGGTATCTTAATACATCGCGGGATTTTGAATTTGTTGAATTTTGTTGAATAGTGTCCCAAATCTTATTATATTTTGTTAAATGGTGTCCCAAATCTTATTATATTTTATTGAATAGTGTCCCAAATCTTATTATATTTTGTTGAATGGTGTCTCAAATCAATTATATTTTGTTGAATAGTGTCCCAAATCTTATTATATTTTGTTGAATGGTGTCTCAAATCTTATTATATTTTGTTGAATGGTGTCCCAAATCTTATTATATTTTGTTGAATAGTGTCCCAAATTTTATAACATTTTGTTGAATGGTGTCCCAAATCTTATTATATTTTGTTGAATGGTGTCCCAAATCTTATTATATTTTGTTGAATGGTGTCCCAAATTTTATTATATTTTGTTGAACGGTGTCCCAAATTTTATTATATTTTGTGTAATGATACACGGTTAGAAGGATCTAAACATTGAACTTTACAGGGAGAAAACATTCACAACCATATTTACTCATCTCGTTATACAGTAATCACAAGAAAGAAAATGGAGTAATTGTCGTCATCGTTCTTTCTTTCAATTAGGAAATATCGCTCAGGAGTTTCTAATTTGTAATCCAAATATTGTCAAAATTTAAAAAATCGTTTTAAGAATTTCGATATTTTTTTAAGATTGATATTAGGAATAAGAAAATCATTAAAAATTTTGGGTTTGTTTCTATTTTTGAAAGAAAAAAAAGGATTACAGATTTGATTAGGAAAAAGCTTTGCTAATTGTTTGGTTAGAAAAAAAGCAAAGCAACATCAATCAATCCACTATCTTCTGATTACTATTAAGGGAATTGTTCAATTAATTGAAAATACACATTTGGAATTTTTCGAATTTGAAAAACAACTAAGCAAGTCTCTGTGCTCAAGGATGTTTCGGAGTATCAGAATGGAATTTTTTTCCATAGTTTTCTGGTTCTCACTGTACAGTGATAATCAGAAAACTCTGGAATAGGAAGTCGACTTTTAAACTCAAGTTATGACTTTAAATAGCGCATAGAACATGAGGTACAGCAATTGTGCATTGTAAACAGACACATTTTACTTAATAAATAATTTAATAACTTTCAAGTAAAGCTATATGCTTTAAACAACAGCAAATGCACGTTAGAAATGCTATAATGTCGTCTTCCTATTCCACAGTTTTCTGGTTATGACTGTATATATATTACTTGATTCGTCATTTGGGACATTTTCAAGACTAGGAGAGCGACGGAGAAAACCTTATGAAAATAAATATTAACAGTTTTTAAATAAATGAACCATTCTTTTAAGTGCTATGTTTTTTTCATAAAATCCTACGACTGATATTTTTATTTTCTAAATTTTCAAAATATCCATAACTTTAGCCAGCGGTAGGATTTTTAAGTCGAGATATATAATGTGCAATCGCTGGTTCGAGAAAAGACGACATCTAGTAAAATCTCATGTTTATCGGAACTTACAGTTTCTATATGCTGAACATCATTTCTTTCCAGGCAAGAAAACTTACAGAGAATCTAGGGAGGGCAGAGATAGATTCTATTTATGTATATATTTGGATTTTCTCTTTATACAGGGTTCAGAGAAAACTGAAAGGTCGTCCTTGATTATTGGAAGAATACGCGGCATTCGATCGTTTAAATGATTTTTATTACAAAAATCATAAAATAAACGTATTTAAGCATAAAATAAACGTATCTAAGCATAAAATAAACGTATTCCAGGCAATTCACAACTTTCAAAATTACTGGAGATACATGATAAAACCAAAATTACTGGAGATACATAATAAAACCAAGATTGTCTTAGTGTCAAATTTCTTTGCATAGAAGGTACACAAAATGATGACTCAAAAGCCGTACAACCTTTTTGATAAACACATTTTCATTTAATATATATAAAAATTTCGAAGACTGTTTAGTAGTCTTAAAACTATTGGGACACCTTTAGTCATCAACGTCAAAACAGCAGCTAAACGGTCTCATGAATTAAAAATTATATTTTGATAGATCATTTAGTGCGTATTTTCTACACGGAAAAGCACCGTAAAAAAATTTGACTGCGTTTGTCAGCTTAATAATTAGAGTAAGATAATAATTTCTCCAAATAATGATGATGATTTCCTCTGAACAATACCGATTATACACATTATACTGAATCAGAGATCTGGTGTGTATATTCTTACCGAAAACTAATTTCAGACGTCTCTGAATATCAGGACTATATTATCATACAGGGTTTCCCACGAAACATGACCGAATAGTTTTCTTCATTATACTGTAACAATGGGTGATTTTGTTGATCTTTTACGATCAGCGATTCAAGGATCTTATAGCTATCTAGGGGTATCACCCCCCCCCCTTATACCCTTCCGTTGGACTTTTGAATCCTATTTTGAATCCTAACGGATTTATTTGAGTTTGCATGTGAATTCTATAAATAACCCAAGCCAAGCTGAAAGTTCCGTTATTCCAGAGGCACGGGGGCTGGGGAGCTAGCCGGCCAGCTCCCGGGGAACTAGGGTTAAATGAGAGCCCAGGGTGGAGCGAAATCTGGGGAAAACAATCAGTTGAAGACCAGCTCCCTTGACTAGAGGTTCCCTTGAAGATTCCCCATCACTCTGAAACATCTTCAATTCATAATAATTATTCGTATAGTATTTTCCTTTAGTTTAGTACTGTTGTAAATAATAATAAATCGTAAGAAAAACCGACTCGTCGAATATTAATAATATGAGTAGTTGCCTGGATTAATTTTTCTTTCATATGAAATATGGTGACAAGTTCAAAAATTGGTAGCCCAAATAGCAACACTTGTTTTTAATAATATTCGGCGAAATAGTTTTCTAACATTTCGGCGCACCCTAACCGAAAGCTAGAGTACTATCGGTAAGCTTGCGCAGACCGCGGCATTAAAAATAGACGCCAACTCATTCTACAGCACAGTTACCCGTTACTTTTCAAATTGTGAACATTTAACTGATAATTCTAAGGTAACACGACATTATTTCTGTTTTGTTTAACCGTTTAAAAGTTTATGAGTATGGCGCAAATATTTTCATCAAGCTTTAATATTTTGTTCGACAGATTGACGTAGTTAATTTGACGCGAGTTAAGATAACATGTTAGGAGCACAGACAGACAAAATGTTTTTTATGTTCCAACGTATTATTCACCCCTACTCCATTCTTATATTCTAGGATGGAGAACGACGTCCCTGAACAACATGGACTGGGGGGTAGACCTGATTGGTTCCTCAGCTGGCTGAGGGAGGTGTTTTTACCAGCATCTCGTGATCCAGTAGCATCCCAAATTGAACAGTTTGAAAGCGCAGTAGAACGAATCCCAGACCTTGATGAGTCGGTTAAAAAGTCGTTAACCACAACCCTGTCCACGGAGGCGAGAATCAACTTGGCGAGAGAAGATGACGAATTGAAGGTGCAACAGCTGCTTAAAACCCAAACCCTGGTTATTGATGAAGCAGTGTCCCCTATGCCATGGAGCAAGTTGACGGAATCTGAAGCGAAAATCATCTCCCGAGTTGTGGAAAACATAAAACAACAGGATTTCTCTACGAAGTCTCTCAAACACTGGTCTGTGCATTTCTCTGACGTGTTTGATAAATTTTTTATATCAAGCAGGGTGGGCCGTATTGCTGTAATTTATAATAGCTGCTCAACCAGCTTGAAGCAACGTCTCCTGGCGCTAGATGTTCGTCAAGAAGCCCAGAAAGAATCCTACTCTTATCTAAGCTTGCTACAGCTTATAACCACGGTAGTTCACAGCCCTGTCTCCAAGGACGAAGCCATGATGAGCATATACAAAGGTTTCCGTCAGCCTAATTCAGAATCGGTTCAGTCATACCTACAGAGAGTTCGTGATACTGCTGAAGAAGCCTACAGGCCCAGTTCAGGTTGTACAATGTCACAAGCGTCTCTTCTGCTTAAGAAAATATGTGAGGGTTTATGTTCCTCAGAGTTGGCTAAACTGACAGCGTCCATAGTTATTTCTGTTCCGTTCCAATGGAACACGCTGTGCGACTCCGTTATCCAGTTCCAGCAGAGAGTGAGACCGGCCCAGTCTGACCAAAATGTTAATGCAGTTCAGCAAGTCCAAGCCAAAGCTCCAGTCTGTTTCAAGTGTGGCGCGTCTCATTAGATGCATGACTGCAAGGTTGTAGTATGTAAGTACTGCGGCCAGAACCACAAGCACGCTGATTGTACCAAATCTGGTGAGAAGACATTCTGCGCCAAG